TATCTCATTTTCCTTCGCTTGAGTGGCGTACCCATTGTCGTTCGGGGGCGGGGGGACAAAAATTTTTTTAGGAAACTCCAAAATTTTTTTTGGCGTGGTTTCTAGCATTTTCGCGGGTCCTTAACCCCGAAATCTCAGAAAAAAGGGGTGTCAACCACACCCCGCGAAAAAATTTTTCTAAAGGCTAAGCTGAACTTTTGTAATATTATTTTGATCATTTGAATGTATAAAGTCACTTGCACTATTTATATCCATGTAAGTAGCTTCAACCCTCTCCCTTCGGTACCCACTGTTTCGTTTTCTTCTGCAAGATGAATAAGGTAGAACATTCAACAAACTCAGGAAATCGATCTTTGCAACAAGGTAAGAAGTGTTTGTACTTATACGGATATCTCTGCAGACACAAGAGTAATTACTTCATCATTTGAAGCAGACCTATACTCCATAGAATGAGGTTTTAGATTTTCAATGCTTAAAACTTTAGACGTGGAGGCAATGATAAAAGCACTACTGTGAATGAGTACAATAGAGTAAGGAGAGATAATTTATGGGTTTCGAGGCTTTTTGCACAATAAAAGTATATACTGAAAAAAGTCTTTGCCATTTCTCATACTTGTTCGATACATTAGCGTTCCATGTCATAGCTCCCACTTGGAGGTCGAACAAGAAGCAAGGCAATGAGCTATTTCCGTCGTCAGCTCCATTGAATATCAAGTCGAGTGGAGTCGTTCGTCATGGTACTAGCGCATTCGGGTCAGTATCTGGCATTTTATATGCTAGAGATCAGAAACAAGTGCTCGTTCAAGTAAATGCTCACTGTTTCTGTATATTTGTCGTAGGAGGGATTCATGAAGGAGCAGGCAAGTGATCTGCCTAGTTTCTCCGAAGAGTAATAATAGCTGCGCTAATGCCTATGTCTAGCGTAAACTTCCTGAAAAATTGTCTACCACGCAAAAGTCGGTTTTAATCCCTTCGATGCGATCATATTAGTCATGTTATGTATACTTTAGGAGTGAGGAGGCGAGTTGGGGGTGGGGGGGGGGGGAGGGCTTTATACGTTCAGAGATTCCCCCTTTCCTCCCCCGATACCATACACGTGTCATACGTATATGGCACCTCCTGCTCTTGTAGACATCAGTTTTTCAGTACCCTAGCTATTCGTGAAACAATTCCTCTCTTTTGAAAGTAAAATCTGGAGTTCTACTTAATTTTGCTGGTTGTAGTAGTTGTCAGTTCAAATTCTTGGGATAACGGATATTGAGATAGACTGGGAATATACTTAGATGCTCAGTCATGGAAAATTTACAACGGAATCTGTTTTTGTTTGTTTGCATTTGTTTAGGTGTTACTATTAGTTTGGCTAAAAAATAATTTCGTTTTAGCATGAAAATCTGCATAAAAACTTCTCTAATTGCTCTTTATACATGATGTAGATGAGTACATCAAAGGTTCTTCTATTGCATATCAACTATTCAGAAGTTCCAACTGTCGGTAAGGGAAGTTATGGCCCGAAAATTCCAAAAGCTCAATTCTGCGACTATCCGAGCCTCCTTTTCATGGTGTGATAATTGTGGAAAATAACAATTAATATTTAGATACAGAGAAGTTTTCTCTACTTAGCGGATACCATTAGAAATTGTGTTCTGACAGTTCAAAATTCTTTGACCGAAAAAACCAAATTTCTCGTATTTGCACATGAAGGAAAATAAAGGGTTTCTCACTAGAAAAGGATACCAGATCGCATTGGTAAACCGAAATGATATGCATATCTTTAGGTGCGTTTTGATGAGCTGATCTTAAATCTACCTTTTCTACCTGCTACGAGCTTCTCGCGAAGAAGCTATGGGCGTTTGAATGTCCAAAATTAGCAAACATTCAGTGCCGCATCTTCAAGAACTACTTGTTCAGAGACGCTTTCTTATGTTTTCGGTGTATGTATGCATTCCTTGTAGTCAATGTACTCAAGACCATGCAAATTGATCATTTTATAAGCTAGTTTATATAGCGCATTACGCATCAAAATCCCAACAATCTCACATCTTTAAACGCCCATAGCTTCTTCTCGAGAAGCTCGTGGCAGATAGGAAAGGTAGATTTGGGATCAGCCCACTAAGGCGCATCTAATGATATGCATATCATTTCGGTTCGCCATCGCGACCTGGTATCCTTCCCTTGTTATTTCTTTGCGGATTTCTTCTAATGCAGCATAAATTCTACTCAAACAGATTTTAAGTTTCTATCTCATTGAAGTGCTTCTTCCATAGGTACCGAATATTGGTCAAATTATTGTCTGCAGCATCTGTAGGAGTCGCAAAAACAACCGAAATTATTAGGTGGGTCCGAAAGTTCGTGCCGTTATTCAGACCTATTGTAATATCGTTCAGAATGAAGATAGACTTATTTTTAAAAAGTATCCGATGTAGAATTTCTCTCTTTCCAGCAGCTATGTTCCCCAAGCGACTGCTTTGACGAGCGCCGAGATAGTTGTCGAAAACTAAAACTTTTCATTTTTGCTATGTGTAAGTTTCGCTAATTTATAGATTTTTCATTTTAGGCTTTTGGAGTTGCTCTAATAGTTACCTGATAGGGCAGACATTTTGCAAATTATCGCAAGTTTTTGCATCTCTCTGGCATGCATTCTAGAATTACTTAAATATATTTTTTTAAGTGACCAAATTTTATATTTGGCTCATTCTAACCTCGCAAAGCATCAGACGTTGAATAGTTTAGGTATTATTCGATGCATCATTTCCTGCACTTTCTGATAGCTACCTTTCCTTCGCAAAACATGCGACTCTTGCAGACAACGCTGTATTTACCAATTTTACGAGTGCGCAAGGTTGTAATCGAAATTCCAAAACCTATGCATTTTTACGCCATAATCGCTCATTTAATTCGTAGTACTAGTGTTAGTAATAATCTGATTTCAGAACTTCAATATTTTGAGTATTTTGCAGTGTTTGTTGGAATTTTGTGTCACGCGATTTTTTCAAAATTCAATGCTCTGGTAAAATAATTCAGCAAAATTCTAGAGACGAAGCTGGAAAAATGCAAAAAAATTACATTGATTTGCAAAAGGTTTGTCCTATCAGATAGTTATTAGAGCACCTTCAAAAGACTAAAGTGAAATTTCTGAAAATTAGCGAAATTTAGACATGGTAAAAAAGAAGGGTTCCATTTTTTGGCAGTCATCTCAGCACTCGTCGAAACGGCCGCTTCGCTGACATAGCTGCTGAAGAAAGGAAGAAGTTCTGCATCGGATACTGTTTGAACAATTTGTTTATCATCATTCTAAACGATTTTAGGATAGGTCTAAAAACGGCACTAGCTTTCGGACCCACCTAATATTTACTAGGCAACCTACTTTCATGCTGTCAGTTATGAGTCTAGAATAGTTTGATGTACGTAAACCTATAAGCGAAATTCTGAAATTATCCAACCAATATCTATCTACCCTATTTTCAGGTGTATAAGCCGCACCCTTTTCACTCTAAAGGCGAACACGCCAAAAGACTGACTGTCATCATGGAGCGCGTTAAGTGAGAGCAGTATGCGATAAGGCGACCGCTTCGCGAGAGATATGCGCGGCGGCACGCCTGGGTCTGCTCGCGTTTAGAGCAAAAAGGGTGCGGCTTATACACCTGAAAATAGGGTACTAATAAATCGTGCGGACCTTTAAATTGCTCAAGCGTATACTCCTCCTTCTTTGTACACTCGATGTGATTTTCCTAGGGCTAGAAATCGAGAAAACAAAAATGGCATCCTTCTGCTAAAACATTGCCGGACTGTCCTCACTTCTTTTTGAATTTCACACTGAACTCTATGAAAATGCGATCATATACCACACTTTCACAAGCTCTAGTTTTCGATATATTAACTTCGGCATATTACCCGGAAATATTCTAGTACATATACTCGGAATATTTCTCATTTGCGCTTTCTGCTATGAGAAAATTTCTGATAACTGTTTATAAATGCCTGATATGACGAGTATGCGAGACCAATTGGGGTTCCGCAGATTTTTTTTCCTTTGAGTAACTATTCTTTCAAGCTTATATAGTATGTTGGCTCTAACTTCACTAGACCTTTGTCCGAATCTGTACGTTATTTCTCCATTTTTTGTATCGAATATCACCACAAGGTCTACTCAGAAAGTGTGAACAGTACGAATCTCTAAAAAAATGCTGAAACCTATGGAACAACCTAACACTTAATGAAGCAGAATTTTTGACACATTAAGTGTAGCACTTGTTGACAACGCATGTACTCACTTCTACATCCGTACTCCTGATTTCTAAACAGACATCGCTGTTGGTTAATCTGAAGAAGCTACAGCCATTACAACAAACATTACCCGATAGTGCAAAACTTGACACCTTGCCGCAGATATGCATCTTGAGTCTCATTGCATAAAATCACTCCCCCCATCAATGACCATTAATAAACAGGCGACATTGAATTATGCAAAACTTTCTCTTCTTACCACATAAAGCCTGCTGGAATATGTGACGCTGAGATCCGGCAGCTATCACTAATGCCTTTGCGATGCTGTTATCTCATGCAAAGGCTGAACATAACATCTACAAGAAACCAGCACCTTGTTTCCTACCCCGGAACTTGCTTTCAGCATGCTCTTAATCCAACCTTCTTTTTTTTCTTCAAGAAAATGGGTGCAAAGATGTTTCCCAGTTTTCATTAGCAAGGGGCTAATGGGTTTTTAGCCGTCTACTATTCGCGGAAGTCTGTTCACATATTATGATCGCAAGGCTGTCTTAGATACAATCAAAGCGATCGGTCTTGTCGCTATAATGTTTCACTCTCTACAAAGCTTTGTCGTCCACATTAGAATAAAGACGTACTGGTGCTTTTCTTTGAACTCTGTATGGAGTTGAATTGTCAGCCTGTGTTCAAATTATTTGTTTTCTATTTTTACCTTGCCGCTGGCAAATAAAAAGGTTCGAGAAGAGTTACTGCAAAGTATTCAGCACTGGCCCAATCGAATGATTTTGGCCGAGTTCGAACTCCTTGCTAAAGATGTCACCAAAGGGTTAGGATTTTCTCGGCTATAGCGTTAAGATCTGCAAACCGTTGGGAGCGAATTATCTCCATCAAATAACATTTTTTTTCTGTTTGGATTTGGAGTCAAACAATGCCATCTATGCACAGATTTCCATCTCCTCTCTTTGTGAGCGCCATTTGTCAGAAAAAATACTCATCAAACCTTGGTCAAACGCAGCGAAGCATCAATAGACCCCATCTTTTTAATGATTCTGAGTTTTGCTCCAGTAGCTCCTGTGTTGTCGATAACATCTGAAGTGCGTGCTGCATTTTCTAGCTGATTCGGTCTCATCAGTTGGTATTTTACTGTATGTAATTAGATAATATTGACAGTTGTAACCCTAAATCTTTTCTTTACTTCATCCATTTTATGTTTCAGGAAATAGAACGATTGGCGCTTCTTTCGCCATTTCTCAACAATCTAATATTTCAGCCGCTTATCTTAGGCATGTCGTGAAAGCGGAAATCGTACAATTTCTATTTCTACGAGCATCAACGCAAGCGTATTCAAATTCGTTAGAGCGTGTGCGAAATAATAAATAGAATCGCACTATATTAGATACGCTACAGCTATGCAGATTATTACTTGTCCGATTCCATGTAGCAATTATGACGTACATATATTTGGAAGCACTTTCTCATGAAAATCCTATGAGCGTGGCTAGGAATCATACATCTTACTCGTAAACACGATTCCTCCTTTTCTCTCCCTTTACTAGGTTGTCTTTTCGAAACGTGTTTTGTGAGCTTTCGCTCCTGTTCCATTCTCATTCATTTCGACGGGATTAACAGCTTCAATGGTGCATTAGAAATTTCTATTTCTTGAGTTCTGAGCCTACTATGCAAAGGCATAAAACAAAGCACGCGAGTCTTGCCCGCCTATCGTAACTCATTTAGACGTTGCCAATCACTGGGAAAACGGCCGTCATGCAAAATGCAAATTACGCGCCGCCTGTCGAACACGCGCAGATTTCGCAGTGATCTCAAAGTTTCTGTAAAGGTGTGCATGGTTGATGTCTGTTTTCAAACGGCTCCTTATTTTGCATCTATGAGGAGAATTGTATGTTTTTGATAGATTTTTTTCTTTCGTATTAGGTTGCATAATAAGTTCTGTTGCATTTTTTGTTTTAGTTTTTTTTCTTATTACTTTGTGAAGGAGTTGACAAAATGCATTTGCGCGTGCGAGAGCTTTCAATCTGCTCTACAAAATTCTTTGCATCATACGCTAATTCAGTAGATTTCAAAAAAATTCATAGCTTCATAATGAAAAATTTGAGGCAAAAAATCCATTTTCGCCATCTCTATTGCCTTTCAGTTTTCCCGTTTTATTGGTAGATTTATTTGATCACTTTAACACAAAGAGAACAACACACTATATGGGTACCGTCACTTCTAATGCTTGCTCTCTACCTTTCACCACCATCTAATGCAGTTATTTCAAGATTTGGCTTAGCTAAAGTCTTCTCTTGTCATTTTGTGTACATGAGTTGTATGTTCCGCGAAAATAAATTTTAATAGATGTCCCATACAATGAAACAAATGAGAAGTTAGAATATAATTACCATATGTTCGATGATTTTGTGATTTCATAGCTTTTCAAAATCGACACTTTCGCCTGAGCACGTGGCAGATTACTCGAACTGTTATCTAAGCAGGAAAGTGGTCAGAACTCAACCTAGCCATACCAAAGACGTTGTATATCATCGGACTCGTCTTGGAACGCTAATCACGAATATATGTTTATATCTGCCAAGCGATATCTTGGAGGAGTTATGAGCGTTTATATGTGCGATTTGTCAAGTGTTCTGTGGCGCATGTTCCAATATAGAAATAGGTTTCAAAAACACTTTTTCAGGCTTTTGGTGAATCTGCTTCTTGCTGTAACTAAAATAACCATAGCCATTGTGAATCCGCTCCATCAGGCTGCCTTTCAAGGAGTTATATTTGTCGAAACTCGAAAAATATCTCATATTTGAACCCTCATAACTTCTCTGAGATAGTCGCTCGGCAGATAAAAAACATATATTTACTCAGTGTTTCAAGACGATGGCGATGATGCACGGCATGTTTGGAATGGCTTTGAAAGTTTTAAGCATTTCCTCGTAAGCTTGATTTACATGAAAGGGAAAGTAATGTAGTTGTCAAACATGTTCTTGATTCTTTGAATATCTAGTTTTGAAGCCGAAAATTTCTAGATTTTAACAAAGTGAGAAAACGATATGGGAATTTGATAGACGAGACTAATTTCAAATGCATAATCACGCTTTATCAATTACAGCACAAAGTGTAAAGAAAAAACTAAATCAAAAAATGCTATAGAACTCATTACACACAACTTAATGGAATGGATCACCATGTACTTCAAAGCGAACTTCTAAGGCATTAATGATCATCAAATCGAAGGTGACTTGTATAATACAATATATAAGCATTTTGTAAATGGGCTACAAGGTCTGATTTGGCTAATGCTTTTGAAGCTTGGATGTGAATGAAACCTTATGACTCTTCAAATGACAGCAGTTCTACATCAAATTTTGTCGCAGTGCACCAGGGCTTCGCAAAGCTAACTACGGTAGAATCAGCGCGTAAGTGCGGACGTCTCTCTCCTGAATAAACCGATTCGTGGCAAAAAGGTCAAAATGCTTGGCAAATATACCTCCCGCGCCAACAATCATCTGAATAATGTTTAAGCACTGTTATGACTGTATTCAGCAGGCATCTGGCATATTCCTATTATTTTCAATCTTGTTTCCTCAGCTTCGGTATGCCCTCAGTACAACGTCTGCTATTTTTAAAGTATTGACTTGTAGAATTCCAAACACCATAGACATAGCTGAAAAAATTTGGACAGCTGGACGTATGGGGCGAACTGACTTTGTAGTTGTTTACTTAGTTCGCTCACACTTGCTAATTCCTCCGACTATATGTTGCCGCAATTCGGTTGCGAATCATTCACTCAGCGTTACGCGCCTTTTCGATATCGTCGTCGTAGAGCGTACGTTCATCATAGAGCGTGCACTTCATCGTACCGCTATTTTATGTAACGAGCACAATCGCCGGGTTAACTGACACGATTACCAGTTTTCGCCGTGATCGCTTCGCCTTGAACCGGCCGCGTCACACCTGATCTGCCCGCACGGCGATCAATGCCCGGCCAACCACACTGATTTCGCGTGATACCCTCGGCTATATGGATTTCCGGACTGGACCTTCAATTCTTGTGGGACCATTTACTCGGGTGGTTGGAGCCAGACACCCACAAATACTACCATTATAACCCTTATCAAAGGACTTGGTTGCAGAGCCAAATTCTTGCCAACTACAGGATAGGAAACATTTCACCCGGCGCGACTAAGATCAACGTTTTTGTGCTAGAATGACAATGATAAATTGGTAACAGGTGCTAATTCGATCAGCCTGATACACACACCCTATTATTGGTGTGTGCATCAGGCTGATCGAATCACTATCGCCTCACCTTCATCATTTACTTTAGCCATTCGTAACTCTCCTAAATCTACATATCTCTCCTCCACCGTTGTAAATAACCTGCACCACCACAGCTATGCTTCAAACAATTTGTACTTTCTCAAAGCCTTGGGTTTAGCTTTGCAGGCTAACGTCTTTTTTAAGATATAAACAGTTCAACGATTAGTATTGATTCTACACTTTTGATATAAACTACGACTTCTTTTATTCAAGCATAAAAGCAGTCTTCATCCCTACATTATTCGTTTCAATCTACGTTGTCAAGATGTAAAAGCGACAACTGTTCGGAGATTAATCTAGCCTTGTCTTCATTGTCGGCTACCACAGACCTGCTATGATAAGCATCTATTCTTGCATATAATGTAAAATAGCGCTCTTCACACGTTTACTTTTTGTATTGCAAATCCGGTTCGCTTGCTAATCTTGTTTATCCCATTTTATCGAAGACTACTTCTGGACATAGCCCATCTTATGTTCTGCTACGACATTCCTAACCGAAATTTCTTTCTTTTGCTATGTGTACACATGTACGTGAACCTGTTTCTGCGCGTAATTTCCTTATCTTCAGTTAGTGTCTGTTTTATGTTGAATATTAGTACTTCTACAATGGCGTAGGACTCAAGCATTATGTACAATATGAAGCATTAAATAGCAATCCATGACCTTCTCTGATAAGAATACAGCTGAAAATGAGAGTAGTGTATTCTCGCAGTAAGTCGTAAACGCTGAAACCATGCATGAGCACTGCAGAGCTGATTTTTTCTGCTAATACGTCTTGGTTTATTAAATGAGTTGCAAATTGCAGTTCATTCTTTACTAAAGCCTCGCCGAAGCACAAAAGTAACTTTTGATCTTAAAGAGACTCTTGATAAACCTGATCTTGTTTTGTTCAGCAGAACAATCTTGATGTTTTTATTTGTCTTCAAAAGTACGAGGTTCTGTCCGATTTTCAAGAGATCCGTAAAATAAAGATCACAAAACAATGTGTGACACTAGAATTTTCGCAGAATGCCGTCAAAAAACCAGCTGCTTAACCTTCTACAAGAAAGGTCATTTATGGGTAAGACGCACTTGCAATAGAGTACGAATTAATCAGTCTGATATATTGTAAATGATAGTAGGCCGCTTCGCTTTGAAAATGCCCGAAAGAACAAAATTGAAAATGTTTTTGTTCGCGTCCTATTAGTCAAAAGGTTGATTGCACGCTTATGCTCTCAATTTCTCTACATTGTGCTCTTTGAATTCGACATTCTGCTAACGAATAGCATTTTGCTGTTGCTCTTATATGTTTAGTGAATGCCGGTTCGAATGATCAAACTACGTCACGCCATTAATCTCTTAGTCATACTAACAAACAATGCTTTCCAAGAGCAACGTTTCTTATAGCATTTTTGGAACATTTCTGCTGTGACATGGAATTATATCATATATCTTTCATGCGGAGAATTTATTCACTCTTGAGTTTTCTTTTTGCTAATGCTATCATCTACAGCTTGGAAAGGTATACGTGAGATGGGAGGAATAAGTAACATTTTGAGAGCCGGGTAGTTTCTGCCGAGAAGCTTTGGTTATGTTACTTCGAATATCAGATCCTCCCAGTTAAAACGTTAGACTACATCCGGTCTATCCACAGCTTTGCGAAAAGAGCAGTTAATATGATTGACAAATTCGACTGATCTCTGACGCGTATCGCTAACCTGCTTCGATGATTTCTGCTTAATGCTTCCTCTTGCGTCAACTTGTCTGGCACTTTCTTTCGATGTTGAAGCCACACACTGTTCTCAGATTTCAGAAGCCGTGGACAGGTTGGCACGTCATCGCAAAGAATAACACCGCACTCATCGCAATAATCCTTTTTTCTGCTGCCTCTTAGCCTTAATAGCACTGCCCTTATGCATTTTCACAAGCAGATGTATGAGCCGCAGTAGCTGCGAACAAGCTTGCTATATCCTCTTCTACTGCACTAAATATTGTATGCACGATTAGGGGTACTTGCCAAGCTTGAGTCTCAAATCGCCTCGAATATGGACTCGTATAGACAATAATCATTCTTGGAAGCACAGCACTTGATGTTTCTCACTCAATTCTCGCAACGACCCTTTTGAACCAAACAGACAAAGAAGGAGAAGAACTAAAGAATGATTCAAGACGTCGAAGGCTCTAGAGCCGAGAAGCAGCTGCCACACAAAACATGTGCCGCTCTGCGTTCGAATCTCTATCTACCAAGACTGCACTTAGCTGCGTCTTCAGCACTATGTATTGTACTAAATTCCTCCAGATCTCCGCGCCTTCTAAGGTCAGAATCAGCTTGTACCTTAGCAGTGACGGCGCGTAACATTTGCGCTCAATTGACCGTTTTTTCGCCGTCGTCGAGTCCGCGATTCGAACTGATAGAACGGCGCGATTTCGTCCCACTTTAAGCGACCACCGCACCCCTTCAAGTGAGTAGCAACATTCACAAAACCACCTTCAGCCGACATCCTTGCTCCGTCCGCTGTCGCCCTGCCTAGTGATTGTTTGGCTTTACTTCTGTCAGCGATTCCGATCGCTTTCGTCGAGTTCAACTGGATCTGTTGACATAGTCGTACTGCGCGTCGAGGCACTCGCTTTGTATATGTGCGATCGCATCGCACTTCAAGGGCCCTAACTCGGATAATGATTGGCAATTTGCATCGATTAGAAATATATTCTGCATCAGACCACTTAGAATTGAAAGAGCGCAAACCACCTTCGAAATGGAGGAAACTTATTTTTGCGATGCTTGGCAAAGGTCGCCGTTCAGTTCATTCACCATCTTAGACTACGGAGAGCGCACAAAGCTATTATGGACCTTGATTTTGTATAACTTGCAGAATTTAACCGGGTGTCAACGCGATATTATCGCAAATTGCGATGACTCACTTGCAAAAACTGGTCTAGAGCGTTAATTTGTGTTATGTTATGCTGTCAGTCCATGAATTATTCATCTCCGACAACTGCAATATGTCCCGCACTGACCCTCGGCGCGTATCTTGGCATGCGCTTGTTGTCTCATCAGTGAGAGATCGGCTTATCTTTATCCGGCAAATCCTACCACGTTCGCCTTCGCTTAGATTAGCGCTGCTACCTCGCATAATTTTTATCGGTCCGCTTCATCTCCATGGTATCGCTGGCTAAGAAAGCAGCAGCAACATCCTCTATTCTTTTAGTCACTCTACCATGATTAGTGTCATACTACTCCCTTGCGGCCCTCGTTTACATTCGTAAATTCGCATGCCCTTTTCTTTTTCTGCTAATGGCAAACCTTGTCTTACTCGAAATCCATGCTTCTGCGTTCTGTTTCGCCTCCTATTATCTTCGCTCTGCCACTACATATTCGTCTCTCCTGAGTACACATGTTTCTGTTGACAAAGCATCACAAGTTCAATCAAAATACAATGTGCAACTGTTCAAACTCACTGGATAACTATAAAGGTAGCGCGTTCAGACCTTTCAACGATTTGCTAGGCAATAAAATTTTTGAATTCTTCTTATACAAGCGCATTGGCACACCGCAAAGGTGCACATCACTTTGGGTCATCTGTATGTCGTTAACATATTGCTAAGTAAACGCACAGCTTAGAATAGCTCATTCATTTGGTGTAAAGAAATCATTCATTACGCATTATGTTTTGAGCCAACCTGTCCATAAGGAGAATAAATGTCACTGTCCTTAACTTGACAGCCAAGATTGATGCTAGCGAAAAGATTAATCTGCTGGTCATACCCAGTAGGATCACACTACGGCTATCTAAACCAATTTTCTACATAATCTCAATCGATGCTCGCAGTACAGGTAAGTGTAAGCGCCTCTTTTCACGTCGCTCCCCATTGTCGGACTCGCCAGTCGTTCTTTTTCTGAAAATTCCCAAGGCGCAATCACTTTCGAGTCATTGCAGAGTCTTTTGCGATGGATCTACAGATTTTGATACTTTGCTCTGATATCTGTCGTCACTCGTTTTTGCATCTCGAAATGATTGGTTTACGCTCAATTAGCGGGCAGCAGGAAATCAGTTCTCTAATTCATTGCGAGATTTATATCTGCGATTGGCCTGTCACTTATTTCCTCGGCTATCCCACCGACAGTGCGTTGACGCTAACAGGACCAGTTTGGGTCAGCGGTGAATACATGCCGTATCATTCGTACAACAACCGACTCTTCATTCATTCTCTCTCATTTCTTTCATGCTATACCACTTGATCCGAAAGAACCCAGCCTTGAAGTGCACGTTACTATCTTGTTTTGCCTTAAATCTGCAACAGACTAACTATGCACGTAGTTTTTTGGCAGATTTCTCAGACCATAAGCCACCCCAGACTAGAATAACGACAGCTTGTTTTTTCTTGTTTTCTCTCCTCCCCGACTCCATTCCCATTAATGGGCTATGTATCTAATACTTTAGAGTGTTCTCTCCTCGTAGGCAGAGCGTGAAAGAGCCATGAACCGCAGGGCACAGTAATATATCGTTTGTTCATTGAGTATTAACTAGGAATTGCATTGTTTTTTTTGCTGTCGCAGCCACGCAACTTAAGTCCTTATGCTATCCTCTGATTCTCGAAGCGGCCACTTGACAATCGCTATTGTGCGATCTTCGCTAATTCGTCGTGAAAAGCAAGCGTTCAACAAGCTTCCGATGCACATAACCGACTTAAGTCACCTTTCCTCAACTGCGTTTGTTCTCGGTTTACAATGGACGGCAATCAATTGAACTTGCCACTCGGGGCCATGTTTGTTCAGACAGATGATACCTCGTGGACATACCACGTCTCTTGATTTGTTTATCCCTGTTTGTGTACTTCTACTTATTTTGGCTACAACTGACAACTTTTCCGAGTTTTGTTTCACAGCCACAAATCAAGAACGGAGCACAAAGAACATTTGAACATGACTGTAAGTTTGCGTATCTTGTTCATCGTTTCGCTTTTGTTTTGTTGTGACGCTGACATTTCCTGCGGTTTGATGCATCCTCTTCTGACATCCCTAACATTCCAAGGGCAATGAGAAGCCTTGCGTTCTTATCTCTGAACGCTACCCGGTCCTGAACTGCTCTGACACGAGGTTTTGTTTGCTCCCCTCAATCAGCTCTTGTTTTCCTTACCGGTTTTTGAATTCAACCCAACTTTTGCCCGTAGTTCTGTACCAAGCAAACAACCTATCCTCATGATTGATCACATCGTGCATATTTCCTTTGCTCTGCTCAAACGGAAAATTTTCTCGTCTTTTCTTTGCAGGGAAGATCCCAACAAAAGCGATGTGATAGCTGCCGAATGCGCTGCAACATTAGACGAATATTCACCTTTGCCTTCGGTGCATTTGGCGCTACCCTCGTGCTTCTTTCACTTCCTCGTGACAACTTTGGACGTGAGTTCATCACAATCATCGTATTTTTCCAGTATGTATTCCAAAAAAACATAATCAGACTTGTCGTGAGAACCGTTGCGGCGTTTTTTTTCTCTCCATTCACCATTCAAAATTCAACGCGTTGTGGATTAAGTGTGGAAATCATTTGCTCGCTCTTTTCATTGGCTGCGCACAGTCCTCAATCGTGTTTACACAGACTACGTATGCTTAATTCGAAATACTGCTTTGAGGGTGCATTCTCGAACAGAAATCGCTGCGCAAAATAAGCGTGAGGCCCGTTATGAAAGATGGAAAATAGGAACGGTATTTGGCAATACAGTGGAATAATGCAAGGAGTTTAAGGAGAGTGGGATGAATCGCCGAAGTCGAGTGAGCTGCAGTCGCAGAGGGCTTCCATCAGCAGAGACGCGGCCATCCGGGCTGCTCGAGCCGGACCGCAGATGTCGTTCCAAAAACAGCCAAACCCTCCGAGTCTCATCCACAAAGACACAGCAGACGATCCTTTTGTTGAGTGACTTCTCTTTCTTTTACCAATACATTAGGCAACAAAGTAGTCTTTTGGGCCATCTGTTTAAGCTCCCAGAAATAGCTCGAATACTACAAATGTGCGCGCGACGATCGTGCAAAGCGCAGCGCATTCTTATGAGAGGCACTGAGCAGCGATATTACAGGCATTTATTTGCAGACTTTCCGGCGTACGTCAATCGAATTGTGCTGAACAAACTGCACAATTTCCTGAATGGAAGGGATCTCGTAGCGATGGCTGCGTCAGAGTGTCACGAGAATACCACATTAGCTGAGTACTGGATGAAAACAAAGCAGTTCGTTAGCATTTTTTGGATTAATTATGTAAAGTAACGGAGAGTACTTTCAGAAAATCTGTTCCGACACGAGATTCTTGGGAAAAATTTTATGCTCAAATTGGGACGTGTAGCGTGTATAACAATGACCAAACTGTAGACGATCTTTTGGCGGATTTGAACAGTGCCACCATCAAAGCTGTCCACATCATGGATGGAGGAACTCAGGTTAGTCGACTATCCAGTGAGCTCTTTAGGCATCCAAGACTAGTTCTGTTCTAGGCAAAACTTGTGTTCACCTTCGACAACGACAAACAAGCAGTTTTCAAGCCTATGAGGTCGGTAAATCATGTTCTTGCATCTCCCAACGAACATACTAATAGGTTTAGATTACAGCGAAAAAGGATGTTTTTCAGGTTTGGCCGCGATTATGAGTCGGATCCGAATCACTTCTACTTCAGCGACTTCGAGCGCCACAACGCTGAGATAGCCACCTTCCATCTGGACAGGTGCGCGACCTCATAGTAACGAAAGAAATGCATGAATGACCCTAGTTTAGTTCCTTCAAGGGTTCTTGGCTTTCGGCGTGCCGTTCCAACCGTGGGAAGAATCGTGAACATGACGTCTGAACTGTACGAAAAGGCGGAGAAGAAACTGAAGAAGACATTCTTTATATCACCTGGTGAGTGATTTATTGCGGAAAAGCAACTCTGCAATGTGCTGTAATCTGGTCTGATCCATCATGGTTGTACAAACTGTGCTAGCCCAGCTGGCAGTCATTAGTGAGATGTTGTTCGCACAGCTGTGCATGGAAGCAAAAAACGTTGCGAGCTGAAAAAATCTCAAGAAATTTGTCCCCAAACAGTTCTGATTTCTCCCGAAAAAATCCAGCATGTTCAGCGAAAAACCACTGCTTTGTCTCGCGATGTGACTACTATTGTGACACGACCCACGCAATCTGTGGTTTACCTGATCTCAAGGAGGGCTCTGTTCAAGTTTTTCTCCCAGACGAATCGGTCGTTCCACGAAGACATAATCGCAGTCCATACAGGAGGTTCGTGCAAATCTTACTTTTCGCAACGAATTGCATGTCGTCATTCTTAATCAAAATGGAAACGAGAATGGCCTGAATCTATGCCCAGGTTCTCACATTTCATTGAAGTTGCCGACCAAACATTACGTTGTAATGTTAGCAGCCCTGCAAAGATTTTGCCAGGAAATCTCTTAAAAAGAACATTCAGAAGATTTCTCAAAAATTCAGCAACATATAAATGTATTTCCTTTTGTCCGGATTCATGGTATTCCCCCTAGGATGTAAAAATGGCTGCTCTCTGAATCAGCAAGTGACCGCAAAAGTGAAAAATGAGAAATTTTACACGTAACTGTTAATCGTCGGTTGTATGTTAATTGTAGTTTTTCGCTCTCATTGATATTTCACTGAACTAGAACGTTTGGCAAGTAAAATCCCGTTTCAAATAATTGTGTACCATTAGCGAATCGAAGAAAATGCCGTGGCATTGGTGAAGGTGTAAATTCTGAAGACTCCCGAACTTTCACATTTTTGAAGTTCTATATTAAAAGCAAAGATACTCTCGAGATAGTACTTTTGCTCAAAGTGAGGAAATGGTCGTCTTTGTTGCAAGAATGATCTGAGCCAGAAGAATGCACTATGTGGCGACCTCATTTATCATTGCAAAATTAATGGCAAGCGCGAAATTAGGTTCGAAACAAAGCGCTCAGCGTATGCGGGTGATGAAGGAGAGGGCACTCGTCAATCGTAGGGTACAATTCAGGAATAGCGACTCTGCACACAGTTCACAACTACCATAATCTTCTTTTAAATCAGATAGAATAGGAAAAAGTGGTCCCAAATATACTTTATCCGTATAATCGCAATATCACTGTTTTTTCCTAGAGATTAGTGCTCCGGAATTGTTTTTCGAGGTCAGGTCTGGACCGTTACACAGCCCACCCATGTTGCGATATAGTACACCTGCACTAAGGACTTACAACAGGTTTAGTCGGTACACATCGGGGCAGGTGGTTTCACTGGTTCAATCCAAAGTGCGCCGCACCTTTTTCGAGACGGAATGCAAGGGTATGCAAGTCGAGATCCTGGTCAAGCCACTTTTTGCTGAATGCCTTTAAATATCAGCCTCGAGAGGACGCATCTAATGGACTCAAAATTTGTGCAACAATCAGTCCTTCCCTTACATGTACAATGAAAGTTGGTTGTGCGATGATAATCACTTCGACCGGCAACTTGCCATTTTTCCAATTGTATTTTAACTTGTACATCCCACGCTGCTTCAAACAATATAAAGCAATGTAATCGTTAGTTTTGCACTAAAATAAATGTAAATCATCTACGCAACAGCGCTGAGCCAAAGATTGTTTTTTCAAATGACGTTATAAAGAAGACGTGCAAACAATAAAACGTCATTTTCCATGTGCAAAGTGTGTAGAAAGAATGAGCGAAAATGTCGTCGCTATGGCTTATTATGTCGGGGTTGCTGAACAATGAAATGTTGAATGTAAACACAATCTCAGCAGCAGATGCTGGTGCAGCATGCAGCAAAGAAATTCTCGAACCTCGTATTCGAAGGGGATACCAAGAATTCGGCGGTGGGGGGGGGGGAGGATAAAAAATTTGCAGAATGTCCTTTCTCGCTCTAGCCAACGTCGTTGAAATCTAATGCTCATCAAATAGTTTCAAATAACAATAGTGGTTCAAATTTTGCACTGGTCGATAAAGCTCACTTGTTTGAAAGGAATTCTAAGAACTGAAACACGCGGGGGGGGGGGAGGGAGAGGGTTGAGAAATTGCAAAAAATCCTTTCTAACTTTAACCAACGTCATTGAAATTCAGTTCATGAGGTAATGTACAAATAACAATAGAGTTCGAATTTTACACTATTTTATAGTTCATTTTTTGTTCCGTTCGTGTTGCACGTCTTGTCACTCCTACTTGTACTTGCTATGTAGATTGCTCTTAATGAATTTTGCTGCGAAATCTAAGCGAGAAAATTCTTTCAGAACATCTATGAGAGCAAAGTATGATAACTGTATTCTCGATACCTCGAATGTGCATTTAATTACAAGACAATCAGTCAAATGTAACTATATTTCAGAATATGAGATAGAGATTTGCTGGCGTAGATCTCAAGCAGAATTCAATCACTTCGTTCCAGAACCTACTCGAAAAAGAATCAAGTCGCTGAGTGGCAGTCGAATATGAACTACTGCACAGATAAAGTGAAAGTGAAGAAACAGTATGCTCACGGTCGAAAGCTCTTGGATCTCGTCGATCTTCACATACTAGACTATCTAATAGGTAATGAAGTCTTTGATTGCTAGTATCAAGGCTGAATTTGCTGCTATTCTATCGGCATATGTACGAATTTTGTGGCTCCTGGTACCTCTTTTTCGAAATGTGAACTTCTGAAACTTAAACTCTGTGTACGGTATATGGTGGTATGGCATAACGGAAACATTTACTTTTTGTTTCAGTGTTATCTGTCTTTGATTCTAGAACATCTATTTGGTTCAACAGTTGTAGGAAAAGCTAAAAATTTCGCTTTCATAGTCCCTGTTGTGTGATCTTAATTTGTGCTCTTTGTCAGAGACTCTTTGTAAAAGAGATGAAAGTGCTTATTTTTGCTGCCCTCTACACCCACATACATTTTGTGTACACGATCTCAAAATAACAATAAAAACCATTGAATATTCCAGGTAATCAGGATCGCCATCATTACGAATCGTTCGCCGTTTTCGAGAATCTGCCCTCTTACGCTCTTCACTTGGATAATGGGCGAGCGTGAGTGAAAGACTTTTTCTCATAAGCGTAGATCTCGTTAACCTTTAAAGAATATGTTGTGGACGCAGGTCATGCGTCTGGACATCTGCATTCTCAAACTAAACCGCAGTGATTCAGGTTCGGAAGAACGGATATCGATGACGATGACATCATTCTACCTTTGCGTCAGTGCTGTGTAATAAGGCCGTCGACCTTAAACACCTTGTTGCAATTCTATTCCAAACCACAAGCTTTAACCAGAGCCCTCCATGCGTAGGTTTTGATGGAACTAATTTTGTGAGACAAAAAAATCCCAATGTGTCGCAATGCAGCTGATAGAATTCTATATTTAGCTCCCTTGCCAAGGATCCTGTTGCCCCGATTTTAGCGTACAAGCACTATGCTGCAGTTGAAAGGAGACTAGGAAAACGTAGGCTATCCACCTCTGCCTTCACTCTTGTGCCGCTAATCATCATTTTTTTGAGTGATGGAATTCATCTTGGACTGTTTCAAACAAAAACCGGTTGAGCGCATTCTGTTAACGGAGTATCACAACGCGAATATTCCTGAAGGCAATGCTGAGGAGGAAGAGAAAAGCGAAGAGGAAACGGGTGACAAGAAGGAGGGTGACAAACAGAATAATTGATCATAATAGAAAATGACCATGGGTGGTCATTCTAACTTCGTCACTTACTCGAAATTTTTACAATTGTACATCCATTCCGAAGCTTAATCGGCTCAGTTTGAGAAGTCATTTTCCTATAGGATATTTTTCATACTCATAGTATTTCAATCTTATGCCGACTATCGGCTTGCCTGTCTCTCTTTGCACAAAATTCTATGGATTGACTGTCTTTGTTGAATTTGTCCAAGGGTACTCTACACTTATTCGTCAGGGATCGGGTATATCACCTATAATGGAGTTCTGTTCTAGTATCATACTTGTTTTGCCTTCGAATAACCTAGTGGTGCGTTGTCATGCTTTCCGTACGTCCTGTTGCCTTGTTGTTGATTTCGAGCAAACCTTTTCGCGTACGAGGCTTTCTGTCCCCCCCCCCCCCCCCCCCCCATTTCCGCGTGATGCGAGTTTGCTATTGTTTCTCTTTCATCTATTTGTTAGCGTCTTGTTCGCTGTCCTTGTTATATTGCTTGCTCAAATGTATAGTTTCCATTCAAAAATTTCTTGTCAAATACAGAAAGTGATTCGTTGTGCACTATACTGGGTACTTCGAGATCATTTCTTCGAGCACAAAATCACAATTAAATGGAAGGCCAGTACAGCCACTTCTATGAACGAGAGAATGCAAACTCCCATGAGAACACCCAGCAGTCCTCCCAGGTTGGATATGAAACGGTTGATCTGAAAGGGAGGGATTTATCAGGCGAAGATTTATCTTGTTCAAACTTACGTCCATATCAGGAACTTCTGCAAAAACCTGATATTCTAGCCGGGGCAAAGTTACAGTGATGAGTGCACTATCTTCATATTCTCCTCTACATTTGTCGCTATTCAGACCAGAATATTGGGAACAACTCGTCGGCTGAAAAAAAAACATTGTTGGAATGTAAATTGGCTTAATCTAAGGACATCTTTTCGTCGTGTTGGCTCTACCCAAAGAAAAGAAGGAGTGCTTTTGGACGACAAAATTTTTCGCGATAAGGAGACCTCAGCATTTTTTCATCCTTATTTATAACCCTAAAAACTTACTACCAAAGGCGATTTTGTACGATGCCATTCCACAGAATACTGTTGATTGTGGCAAGGCAACGGACACTTGCACGATTCCCACTCCGATGGATCTCCACTAACTTCTACGGCTTCGTCAATACATGGTCCTCAAAACTGGGCATTTATTTCAAAACCTAAACGATCTACTCACTTTGGACGAGTTCACATGTGGACGTGTTTGGTGCTACCGGATATCGTGGATCCATACATCCGCATAAACTGTAAATCATATCTTGATAGCAGGAGCGAAGGCATCCCTAAACAAAAATTTTGGCACTGCTTCGGGTTTGAATTGTAACTTCTGCTAACATCAGTGGTGTACATTCCATCGTAATAGTATGCTTTCACTTCAGAGGGTTTTTGTACACAATTCCCGTATTTTCCTCCAAGGCGACCATATTTAGTCTGAAAGCATTACACCAGCATTAAAAGTAAAATTGCTACTATTCTATATAGGTTCCATGAAGATTTTAGAAGTCAGCTAGGCAAACACAATTCATTAGGTTATCACTTCGTACCCAAAACTATGAAGATTTGTTTTTAAAAATTTGTGAAGAGCCATATGATGAATGTTCCTTTTTGATTGCTTATTAGTGGGAGCAAAGTTAGTGTGTTGAGTCGAATCTAGAATAACTAGTCATAAATACAAAATCATCTACACGATTTCCTCTCTTAGAAATCGTGTAGACGCATCGCATGACCACAATCAAACCTCATACTTGATTTCCTGGTTTTGTAATATTTTAAGACTACAGTTAAGAAAATGCGACGTGTTTTTACCTATGAGTCCGTATCGCCGTGACGTGCCAAAATAGATTTTTTTTACATACACTTTTGAAAAATGCATGATCTTCACTGCCTAGTATGTTGAACCATTGGATCTCGTAGAATTGGAATGAAACTACAATTTTTTGGACAAATCTAAAATTTTATAATTGGAATCATGATCTTGAGCGCTTCTTGCGAATTCAGATGAGGCCTTTACAGCCGACCACACTTCAAGCAGCTCGCTGACCATGGACATGCGAAGTTCATGTGGCTTAGCCAGTGCAAGTTGAAGGAAAAAGGTGCTGTTTTTTTCGCTCACAAGTGGGACAGCTGGCTGTTCACTAACACTGCACCCATCGAATCAATTGGGGACACTATTACGTTTTTTTCACTAATTGACGACGCAATCATCGATCAGATCCTATTTTATCTACCGATGGCTGCAGCAATGGTCATACACTTCTAGGTTAGAAAAGTTGTCGGGAGATATTAGGTTAAACGAGTTAGTCCTCACTGTCACATACAACTCATTCAGACTGTTAAAATAGTGATATATATCTAGCTTTCAAAAAGTCATTTCTTTAACTTCCTCGTCGTTTTCGTGTTGGATGAGGCAGGCGTCTGATAATTGGATACATACTGCTTCGAATGAATGACAAAGATTGTGATCGGCAATTCCTGACTTCCTCTAGTTAGAAAAGTGGGACCATTTTAATATTTGTGCTTGGAACTCAATTTTCAAGCAGCCCAGGTCGTATGATCATCTCGGCCATGCAAATGGTCAGAGGTACCAAATCAAGTGTTTTTATATTTTAAATAATACCATTTTAGCTGGCTTTGTAGGGCACAATATTACGAAAGCTTGGCGAAATTTGTGTGTTCCATTTTCCTACGCCATTACGTAAATTTTTTCTGCTTCAGCAAAGTGGACCATCCCATTACTATTTTTTGCAAACCGTAACTACCAAAATTATTTTCAGTCAATATAATATAAAGTTGCCGTTTGTTGATTGAATGTCATTCATCCCACCTTCTCGTCATACAAATACGGTATCAAGTTGTTTAATCCAAGTTCTTATGAAAGAAAAGGCTTCGCTTTCAATAAAACCAAATTGCTTCACAAAAGCCACTTTGGGGACTGATTGCAGTATAACGAATAAATATCGTAAGCGAGACAACATCATTTGCATGTAGCCAAATTTTTCAATTTCGTCACCAACTGAATAAAAGAATCTTCCGAATTTTGATTCTACTGTGCTAGTGCTACGTAGGTCCTAGGTGGTGCTGATACCTAGCCGTTAATCAATGAAAGTATCCGAAATGTTTGATCAATGAATTAACGGTTCGAAAAACAAAAATGTGGATTAAGTGAATGAACAATTATATTATAAGAATGAGATCTTTGAAAATTTGAGCAATCTTACGGAATATTATAGGCATTTATATATTTGCATAGGATGAGGCATAAATAATAATAATGACTTTCTAGGTAAACTCAGCTGTGAATGACAGGGCAGGACTGTCACTTGATAAATAAGTTGAATTTGCATGGCATAAGTTGGCGGGTTGAGCAAATGACACTTGGAAAAAGAATGCTTTTCACGACACGGAAATTGCAGCTACACATTGAAGTTTAATAAAGCAAAGTATATCCATAAGAAGTGGGATTATATAGTCAAGATAAGGGAAAAATGAACGCGCCTATTCTGGAACTATTAGATTGTCCCGTTAGTATTTTCATTTTTGAGTTTACGCTGTAACAAGTCATACACTTCCTTTTTTAAATCGACATCAGGACACCATTCGATAGAGCAAAGTAAGCTCTATAAGATGGCATATATGCTTTTGCGCCAGCTTTGATCCACTGCAGGTTTTAAACCAAAATCTAAAAAGTTTCGAACGCTCAGAAAATTGAAAATTTTTATGCCTTCATTCATAAAGTCCTTCATCTCTCACTCGCTCACACATATGCACGCCACATCAAACACTCGCATGTGCTGTTGCTGTGTTTTTTTACTAGCTGAAAATCAAAAAAAAAAAACAAAATTTCCATGTTTTTACCAAAGTTGATGCCATGCTCTGTTCTTACACTGAGGTTTGTATACTACAGCCCCTTAGAAGTGCAACCGTAAATTTTTTGCTCTCTATAAGCTCTAGTTCCCGAAAAATATCGACTTTAGCTTTCTTCATTCGGCTTTTTCACGCCTAACTCAACATTTTTCAGAAACTAGGGCTACAGAGAGCTAAAAATTCACTGTTGTACCTATGAAGTCTTTTAGTATACAACCGTTATTGTAAAAAGAGCACAGCATCACTTTGTGGAGTGTATGTGCGTGAGCGAGTGAGAGATCTATAGGACTTTTTTGAACTAAGATACGAAAAATTTTCATTTTTTGGGCATCCGAATCTTTTAAGATTTTGATTTTGGACTTAAGGTGGACCGAAGCTGGCGCAAGATCATAAACGCAGTCTTACAGAGCTTGATTTGCTCTATCCAATGGTGTACTGATGCCAATTTAGAAAAAGAAGTGTGTGACCTATTACAGCGTAAACTAAAATGGACAACCTAACAGCAGACGAGGTTAATAAGAAAAAAAAACTCAAATTCACGCCAGACTCTTCATACCTCGCAACCGAAACCTTCAACACACAAGCGCAGTGGCTATCATGCTATCCAAAACTCTTGAGATAGCCATTTGCGCGAAAGCAAACATTTGTATACAGACGTGTAAAGCGACATTTATAGTCATTTTCTGGCGAAATTTGTCGGGAACTGCAGTTAGCGGTAAGCATATTTGTAAGGGATTACGACAGCTCAGAAGATAGAAGTATTCAAGCTGTGTGTAAGATGTGAAGCTGCACAGGCGAAGTTTGAGCGAGATTCGCTTTCACACTATGACATTTGAGATACCGAAGAGGCGAAATGCTGGATCTTCTGACTTCATCAGCATTCTGCTGGAAATTCGAGAATCATGCGAGTATTAGATTAGTTTATGAATGTCAATCCAATTAAAAGGGAAGTTAAATACTCGAGTAGTCTATTTCAAAATCACGATTTATGGACTAACCGAATGATTTGAAAAACAATATGTTCGGACACTCTTATGTGGAGTACATAGCATTTCAGAATTTAGAGTAATCGAAATTTGATTAAAGTCTGTTTGATTTTTTCAGCCGAATGCTCATTCAGTGTGGTCCAAAGTATAGCGCGAGCATTCCCAGTAGATATCAGGTGTACCCGATTGTAACCTTTATGACGAACTATAGAAGTCTTATTGCACATCAGAGACTGCTAAAAAGATCAAGAGACATTCTGTTGCATAAAATTCAAACACTTAAGACAACTTCAGGAACCGTTGTTTGAGGAAGAGATAGTGTTCTTTCGACAATACAAAGGCAGCTCTTATGCATTCCGAAGCGAAATATATCAGGTTGGCTCGAAAGTTCTTTCGCGCGATTTTCAAAAATTCATAACTTCTGATTTTTTCAACCGATTTGACTGCTTTTATTTTGTATGAAAGAGTGAGTCGTGCTCTTTATAACGACATCTTAGCTGCCTACTAATGATCATCCTTTGCATAGATAGGAGCGGTAGAAGAAAATTGGTAAAAATTTGAATTTTCTGTGTAGTAGGGTCATAAAAAATCGGAAACTTGCCACAAAAATCGAAGCAGTCGGTATTGTAGGTTCTTTCATAAGCTTTTTCTAACAGTGCAAAGTTTGCGCTGATTGAACATCTCTATGAAAAGTTACGTTTTCGCGCAAGCAATACAAAAGGGCGAATTTGATTTATTTTGGCATTTTTCAGGGAATCATAACTTTTCATAGAGGCGCTCGATCGGCGCAAATTTTGCACTGTTAGAAAGAGCTTGTGAAAGAACCTACAATACCGACTGCTTCGATTTTTGTGGCAAGTTTCCAATTTTTTGTGACCCTACACAGAAAATTCAAATTTTGACTAAATTTCTTCTACCGCTCCTATCTATGCAAAGGATGATCATTAGTAGGCAGCTAAAATGTCGTTATAAAGAGCACGACTCACTCTTTCATACAAAAATAAAAGCAGTCAAATCGGTTGAAAAAATCAGAAGTTATGAATTTTTAGAAATGGTGCGAAAGAACTTTTGGGCCAACCTAATATTATAATTTTTACACACTCAAATTTAGTGCAGTAAATTCGCGAACAGCCGCTAACGTAACATCGCGCCCTCTGCATCATTTAGAGTTATTTTTCGACACATTTACAGTCAGAATTTTGCAGTTATAAATGCTTTCTGCAAATCTTAATTCAGCTTCAGAAAACGAAATTTTATAATGCACTCGAAATACTCACGTTTCGAACCAAGATCAGTGTTTCACCAGCTGGCTGCGCGTTATAACGTACAGATTCTGAGAACACGTACTCATCTTCGTTTGTTACGAAAACAAGCATAGATGCTGTATCATACCAGGGCAGATACTCATCCGTATTCAATTTCATGAACACTTGCAACCCTAAACAGACTTCTAACGAGATAGAAACTCATTTCCTGAACTACTACCTCCTTGGATGCCGGACGATCTCATATTATAATCTAGAGTGCTTGCACGATGATTGAAGGTAAAGCAATTGCCGAGCACAACATCATTCCACTTGTGGAGATCACGCCTATGTAAGAAATCATATGCATATTTATGAATATCATCGAGTACTGTTAGTAGCAATTTTACTGTATCGTTGCCGTTCTTGCTGTAATTCGAACTATCATAGATACTTGCAGGATAGAGCCAGGCTACACCAAACATTATTCTAGAGCTTTTCTTTCTCTTTTTAGCACCATTGTTTCCGGGCTACTTCCTTTTGTGATCACTAAACTAGAAGCCGGTTCAAACCCTATGGCTATTTCCATATCCAAATCCAGCAGTTTTCTAGAAAGTTTTACAGTGATTTTTCAGGGACCTCTGACAACAGTGGATAGAGTAGACAAAGTGCAATGCAGTGCGTCTTGGAATTTCCAATTAGTTTTTCCATATCCTTCAAAATAAGATTCCTAAAAGTATTCACTTTTGCGAAATCAAGCCATACATGGCTCATCATGCGCTAGAGTACCTCCAGAATTTGGAAGTGCCAAAAGTTTAAGATTTATCATTGATTTCACAATGTTAATAAGTGTTTTGCCACTCAATAAAATTAAATTTCAAATTTTAAAGAGCAGCATTAAAACTTACACTTACGACGATTTTTCCACGAAGCCGTCACGAATAGGAAAAAAAATTGCCTGTCAAAAGGTGAAGCAAAAGCTGCACAAAATGACAACCAAGTTTGCCTTTTGATGATTTGTAGGTAGCTTGACCAAAGAACTTGATGACACCCAAAAATAATTTGAGAAATACTGAAAAGTCGCTTGAAAATGCTAGAAAATCCACTGCTTGCTTTTTTTTAAATTCTATACACTTGTTGTAGAAACTATTTCGGAAGTGTAAAATAAAGATGTGGAGAGACTACGAAAGTAGAACTTGGTAAAAACCGTGTTTCACTTTCGGCTATTATTTTACTAACCAAATTTGCCACCTAGAAACGATATAGAACGATGTATCTTCTTCTGCTGTGAAAATGCTTACGTTTCATTCGAGTTTATGACTTTGCAAAAGTTGAATTTTCTTCTGTGGCCGCTGGGGAACTTACTCAAGGTCTAATATTTTTTCCTCAAATGCAGCCCAGAGGAACATATCCGAATAATCCCAACTTAAAGAAGTGCGATTTTCGTCCTCTTGCAAACCAACGATGAAAGGAACCATGTCTTTGATCTGTGACGGGTTTTTCAGCAGATCTTCCAGCATCTGTAATTTTTGATTATTTCAGGATTCTCAAACATCATTTTGAACCGAGAGTTCTGTCGCACCATTTTCAAAAAATCGTAACTCTTTCCTGTCACTATAGTTTTCCATTACAAAAATACTATTAGGGAGAGTAACTCATCTACTTTTTAATGACCTTGCTTTCTCTCTTCCATGCTCTAATTGCATAGATAAAATTGTGAGAAGGACTTTAATTTAATCACGAGTTTTTGAGGCAAGCCCGTTAAAAATTCCAAAACTGTGCAGAATCCAAAAAAGCCAGTAACCTAGTTTTTTGATCTTCTCTTTCTAAATGAGCAAAAAAAGTTATGATTTTCGAGAAAAAATGCCAAAAGTCGGTTTCTCAAGAAAATTGATCTTTTGCCATTTTTTCTCAATAATCATAACTTTTCAGAGAACATCGACCAGCGCGAGTTTTGCTCATTTAGAAAGAGGAGATCAAAAAGTCTGGGATACTGGCTTCCTGAATTTTATGGCACAGTTGTGGAATTTTTGACTGGCTTGGCTCAAATTTCCAAATCTGAAGTGATTTCCTTTTCCCATTTTTATCTCTGAGTCAGAGCCTAGGGGGAGCAAGCAAGGTGTCATCAAAAAGCACTGAGTTATTCTTCCTAGTTATTTTTGCCATGCAAGGCTATCGTGACAGGAAGAACTTACGATTTTTGAAAATGGTGCAACAGAACTTTCGGTTCAACCTGATATATTTACACTAGGTGGGTTGTACTACACCTGAAGAACTTATTTGATATAAACATGACTGAAGAAAATTTTTTGTTCAATCCCGTATGTCCTGGACATGCAAATATGGAAATGCTGGAATTAATATTTTTTCTTCACTTACAGGTATCATTTCCAAATTGACAATACCGTATACTGCCAACAGCACATCTTTGATGATTACATCTGTAATATAACGCATTGTTCCTTTTTAAAATCATATCAAGTTCTGCAACTTCGACCTACTGAGATCACAAAATTCTCCAGTATACATTGATGAACAATTGCATGAAAACGACGCAAGCTCATCTTCACATTTCGCGTCTTTATCTTTTGTCTTGCAACGATTTTCATAGGTTTTCGTAACACCATTGACGGTCTGGTTGTAAGTGACACAGTCGGGAATATCTGAGTGCAAGTTTATGATAATTCCAACAATTCTGTGAAACGGGAAGAACCTACCGATACTACAATTCTTTCCAGTTGCGCCAGGCACACATGTACAATTGTAGTCCATGTACGCGTCTTCGCAAGTTCCCCACTTGCATGGATTTGGAACGCAATCGTTGATATCTGAAATGCGATGAAGCACACATTTTCGTGAACAGTTTACGTATAACTGCAGTTCGTCCTCACTTCTTTATGCAACTTCTAATTTTTAAGTTCATTTTCATTTCAAAGTGATGAATTTCGGTAGGCTACGAACTAAACTCCTTCCTCAATGGCGTAAAATTTTCGAACGATATAAGTATCGTTAATTCGTTGACCGCACGGACTGCTCAAAGGCTGTGGACCACGCGCGGCGCGGCTGAATTGTCGCGAGAGCATGATTTGTACAACGGCGAATTTGTGCTGGAGCAAGCGTTTTACCTCGCGTCGCGTGCTCCGCACTGATGTCTCGTTTGTGCTGTCAACGAATCAACTATACTTTCGCATTTGATACAAGGCGCGAAAGGGATTTTGCTTTTGAACACCAAGCTGTGCTAATATTCTTCTACTCATCTTCATGCCTCGAGTTACGGTATTCCACTGTGCTCACATGATGAGTAGATTCATTTTTAAAAAATGTTGTCCAAAATTCCATATTCTCCATTTCCATGTACAAAAACCGGTTAAAGGCTCACTTCGCAACCGTTTATATTCTAGATATGCAAGCACTTACTTTCATCGCAGAAAACTCCTGTATACCCAGGAATGCACGTGCAGGTACTGCCAGGCACAATGCCATTTGCGATCGAGTTACAGCTTCCATTCTCGCATTTATTGTTGTATGCACAAGTAACAATTTCTAAAAGTGACTAGACTGTCAATACACCGTTCATAAATTCATAAACAAAGCTAAGGCTGTTCACTTCCGAAAAACTTTTCAAAGCAGCATACCTTGGCAGTTCTTCCCGCTATAAAAATCCAGACAATTGCACTTGTAGGTGCCGTCGTAATTCTCGACGCATGTTCCACCATGCAAACAAGGGTTTGTGCCACATTGAAGTGCAACTTAATCTATGGAATTACTACAACGTTTACCAAACATTGTAAGAATGCTCACATTCGCATTTTTTCCCGCAGTACCCTGCCGCACATTCGCATGTGTAAGTCTTCAAGACAAGATCAGGTTTGCATATTCCATCATTCAAGCACGGGTTGCTGTCACATGGTCCGGATATCGCTATGCACTATTTTGTTACGAAAACACGAATAATCTGCTACTAACGACACTCACGTGTTTCGCAGTTGGTTCCCGTATACTGGGGATTACATTTGCACGAAAAATTGTTATTGTCAGGGGCCATGTCCACACATACACCACGGTCAAGATCGGCATTGCACAGGGTGCGATTGTCGCATGCGTTGGGATCTTGGACTATAAACGGATGCGATTGATTCTGAGTAAGTTTTACTGCAGATTCAATGATTGTTGTGTGCACTCAAAAAATACTTATTTAAAACGATTGTTCGAATGTGAAAGAGTGTACGCATTTGAGAAAGGATGTACCTTTTCTCAACAAAGAACTTTTCTCAGCTTCTTCGACTAATCTCTCCGTCTTGTTTTGTCAAAATTATATGAGATAGATTCTGACCTACTGTGTCGTAAATATACACCAGGGCATTCTTGCTATTACCGCACTCTTCATTCCCATCTCCACTGCACTTAGTCTTGCAGAGTCCATTATTGCCAGTCACATTTAGGTACGATACGGTTGAGAGATAACAGCTCGTGCCGGCCACCGCTGCAAACATAATTGATGAGTTTGCTGATTTAATTGATATTCTAGTGTCAACAAGATTGATATCGATGTTGTTTGTTAAGGGGATTGGAGAAAGGGCAGAGAGAGGTTTGCTGCAAATGATTTTCTCGGCTTTCATTGTTGAAAATACACATATTTTCTGGAAGGTATAAAAATAAGTTTTGTGTGGACAACTTCTGTTGATCGCGAGTTCGTAGATAATAGGACAGAGATGATTCTCGAATTTGTTGCAAGACCTGAATATGCTAATATGGTACTCCCAAACAATACTTTTCCCTGGGCATAATTCTGACTAAAGAGTGAATAGAATAGCGAAAATATGAAGCTCAGATAACTGTGGGCGATATATCTATAAAAATAAACTCACTGAACACGGTATATACGGGATCAAATGTCGACGTTAGTAAATTCTTGCATTTAGTCACAGTCATTTTTGGATCAGTGAAGTTCTTGTAGTTTGACGTATCAGCTAGAGCCGCATTCGTTGCGAAACATCCATCACTCACAGGTGAGCCACCTATAGATGAGAAATTCAACAAAAAATACTTTTTGTTTGGAAATGTTAAGAAAATTCCAAGGACAAATCGCAGCACAAATTCGTGTTGCAAACAAAGAATAAAAATTTTACAAACTCCAAAGGTACACTGGCTTCCCGCAATAGACTTGCTGGTAGTTCTCTTCGCATCTACAGTAGAAATCGGCCCCGTCGAAAATGGATTCACATACCCCATGTTGGCAAGTAACATTGATGCATGGATTATTATCTAGAAAAGTTCCTAATTTGGAAAGTTATATGAGTAAACTTCCAAAATAAAGGCTCTTACACTGGCAGCGATGTCCAACTTTTCCTGTAGGACATGTACATGTGTAGTCCACATTGTCGGTAGTATTGCACGTGCCACCATTCAAACAAGGATTTGTTGCGCATACATCTTGTAGTCCTAGAATGAGGCAAATTCTCCCAATCGCAAACTTTCATACATTCTCAACGATTTTTGGAAAGACATGTCTACCGCGAGAAAGTGCTGTTTGGCTGCAAAAGTCGGCGAGTAGAGGATCTATGGCGAGATTTTGGAGTCAAAATTGAAGGCTCAAGGAGGAAAAGACTTTCGCTATACGTCATCCCTACATTCTATAAATAGCTCAGAAAGGTTGTTGTGATAAACTCTGACGCATGTATGGTGCAGTTTCCAAATCAAATAAAGAAGTGTGATTTCATTCTTGCTACATTAGATATCACAATACACTCACTGAGAAGTCAGCATCTCTTTTTACTTACTACATAAATTATAGATGTTATTGGAAGAACTATAGCATTTCTCAAAATTTTACACAAAATGCTGCGGCTATCAAAAATTCACACCTAAATCACCGTAAATTCATACTGTTGATAAAACTGCCCGAGATCTTGCTATGCAATATACACAAGTATATCAACGTACTATCAGCATCCAAAAAGGTTCCCATTTTCGTTTGTGTCGTTTCTCATCGATAAATATTGAAAAATCTTGCACTGGAGACTGATCACAGTCATAAGCGCTTCGGACCACTACTGCGTTCTTGAGTCCTTAAAATTCGTAAGGCCTAAGGTATACCCCGCGCGATTTCTTCAAATCGCTACATCCACGCGACTTGGCGGTCTACCAGATTTTTACAAATCAACCGTGCGCAGGTCTAAAATGCATAGGCTCCTAGCTTCCGCAAGTTATAGCAAAAGCCTCAAGTCTGGCCCATGCAAAGCGCGGCTACGACCAGTTATGAAGAGTCGCCGCAGTGCCAGATCGCGCAGCGACTGGAATCGCGTGAGGTATGCCTTAGGCCTAACGCTACCCTGGTAAGTTATGGAGCATTTGTAGTGTAGAAGCCGTCGCCTTTTCTAAACAAGTTGATCACAGCATTCTGTGCAAAAATGCATTGCCATTCCAAAGAGACAGCTGCTTGTGGAGTTTTTGAGCACCTATTCTTCAGATGAAATTTATGATCAGTTATTTCTCAGGTGGAGTTGACAATTACGGAGGGCAGCAAAACAGAAAAATCTGCTGTAAGGCAATAAAGGCAGTAAGGTAATTTATACACTTGAGTCGTAGTTAAGTACTCTATAAGATAGTTAATTGACATAAATAAATCAATCTTGTAAAGCTACGGTATTAAGTTTCTTGATGGTGTTGATTGTCACTCACCGATTGTACAGTTCTGTCCTGTGTAGCCTGGCTGACACACGCAAGTGTAATTCTGTATACCCTCCACACAACTGTATTTAGATCCATTTGTTGTCGGACATGGATTAGGTGTACATTTAGGAATCACTAAACCATAAGCACTGTTTTCAGTGTCGAATTATCTCACAAGGGAACGATCCCAACTTAAGGTGGCGAATTGGAATGAACCGCATACCATTAGATGCGTCTTGATGAGCTGATTCCAAATCTACCTTCCATATCTGCGACAACGTTATTTGCAAAAAGTTATGAGCGGTTGAAAATGTGAAGTTATTGGGGTTTCAATGCATAATGTGCTTCAAAATCTAAATTGAAAGTGCACGACTAGCATGATAGTGAGCGTACTGATTTCACGAAATGCTCACATTCAAAAGAAACACAAACAAGTGTTTTTGAACAGCTAAAAAGCAACTAAAGCTCTCTGGTAAAAGCTATGAGCGACGAAAAATCCAAATTTGGCAAATATACAGCGCCATTTCTCGAAAATTAGTCGAAAAAAAAACACTTATTTGTGTTTTCTTAGAATGTGAGCATTCCGTGAAATTAGTACACTCAATATCATGCTAGTCGTCTTTAAAGTTGGATTTTGAAGCACATTATGCATTGAAACCCCAATAACTTCACATTTTCAACCGCTCATAACTTTTTGCAGATAACGTTATCGCAGATGTGGAAGGTAGATTTGGAATCAGCTCATCAAGACGCATCTAATGGTATGCGGTTCATTCCAATTCGCCACCTTAAGTTGGGATCGTTCCCTCGTCAGAATTTGCCTTTGCTCTGCTCTCTTTGTACAGATTACTAGATCCTTTTCAGCAATTCTTCGGACACCCACCTGTTTCACAAGTCTCTCCTGTGGTTCCTGGATTGCACACACAGCCACCTAATGGGCACGAATAGTACGACGAAAGTGTTTCCTCATCAGTCAATGTTTCCGGTGCAAGGCATAGACCATAATTTTCGCAGCCATGTGGAGGATATATAGGATTTTCTTCTATAGGAAGATCATCTTGCTGTTTGGACAGCGTAGAGAGCAAGAGAATTAGTAATAGCATTTCATGCCATCTGGGAATCATTGTATATAATTCTTGGGGATGCATCACATTGAGAATGGGCGATTTATCAAGAAATAGCTGCAACATTGAGAAGTTATCTGAATGGAAACAGGATATAGACTTGAAAATAACCATTCCAAAGACTCGAGCCTTTTCGCCGCAGTGAGGAAATTATTCTTGATGAAATACTTCTCTAAATCTCATGCAAATTCGGAATTATCGAGAAAATTACATGTACGCTGATTGCAAAAGGCGACAGGGGAGAACGGGGGGGGGGGGGGGGAGGGGAAGCGAACAAAGAATCATCTTTGGGTGGATAGCAAACTCCTCACCATTACTATCTGAATAGTCATTTTAACAAAGCTTCACCCATCTCCCCACCCCCGCCCGCTTCTGCCCCCACCTCCTTACACTATCGTTTTTCAAAATTGCGTGCTCCATGTAGGTATCAATAATATTGGAGTAGTTTTAGGGTAGGGTAGTTTTACCAACCACCTATTTTCTTAATCCAGTCAAAAGAAGCTTCGACTCTTAGCGCTGTAATTTGGACTCCGACCCCCTCATTCTGAATTCTGGTCGCATTCCTTCAGTGAGCGTCATAAATCAACCAGCAAACCAGTGCTCTAATAGTAATAATTTCTATAATGCCTTATCGCTCACATTTCTGCAAGTGCGCAGAACTCAATCTTCGGTTTGAACAGCGAGGCTGATGAGGTTTAAAATGAGTACGTTTTCTTGGTAATATCTTGACTTTCTTGTAGCACCGTCCACTTTTTTGAGTTAGGGGTCTTGAGCTATTGGCAGCACACTAGTAGGGAGCCCTATCAAGCCAATGCCCGTGTGGCGGTGCAAACTGTCAAAGCGTGAAAATCGCTGCGGAACAACGAAGAGAGCAGGGGACCCCTAGGAGGCAACGCCTCTCCAGTAATGCCCGCCCATCCGTGCATGCCCATCCAATCGGAATGCGGATTCTCCGGAACGATTGCGGAGGATTCTCGCGGATTCTCCACTTCATATCCAAATCAGGGACATGAAGGGCCGGAACGAAAAAATCAAGTCGAGAAACTGGGTGGACTTCATCTGTTTGAATACATTAGAAGTCATGCAATTCTTCACTTGAGACTTGCGTTCATTCGCCTATAACAGCAAGCTAGTTAAGAATTCATATCCACTGTATGCGTAATTGTCGAGATACAATTTACCAGTGGCGTACCGAGTTACTTATAAGGGTTATAATAATGTGCAAATGACTTAATTATACTTGTGAATAATTAAAATAATTTTTAAAAAACTTCAAAAATTCAAATTAGCTTTGTAAAAAAAATTTTTCGGGGGCGTGGCTGACGCCACGTTGGGGGCCCGCAAAAATTTTGAGAAGCACCCCTAAAAATTTTTCGGAGTGCGTGGCTAACGCCACGCACCTTCATTTGAAAAAATTTTTGTCGCGCTCCCCCCCCCCCCCCGAGCGGAAATCCTGGGTACGCCACTGCAATCTACATATATTAGGTCGGTCCAAAAGTTCTTTCCGTTTTTTCAACCTGTCATAAAACACGTGAAGTAAACGCAGGCAAATGCTCTAGAAATTATCCGACGCAGTTTTTCTTCTTCTTTCCAACAGTCATGTTTCGGGACCATTTGCTTTAGTGGTTTCTGAGATAATCGCCGAAATGTCAAACTCATGGTTTTTACCATGCTCAACTTTGGCAATTTTTCAAAATCTTCATTGTGAACATTTGGAAAAGCTTTGATGGGTGTTAGGTAGCGTAAAGTGCAATTCAGCGAAATTTTCTCACATCTTCAATCAGCTTCTTAATATATCTTGCGTTTTGGTTGATACTGTTGCTTGTCTAGAGGGTTGGGCTCTTTTCTGTAGTCGATAAGGTGTTTGATCGGATAGTTCACTTATGTGTTTTCGACTTTTCAGACTCTGAAGAAGGCGAGTTTGCCGAAACGTCAGTCTGTATACTGTGGATAAATATCTGTACCAATCTTGGACGCTGCTAAAGAAACTAATCAGAAGATTCAAACTATGCCAAGATTTATGGATAGTCGAACATGGATTCTGATGAGCTTCTTAATATTTTTCAGGACAACTTTTCCAAAAGTCTTCAATTTTGCGAAGTCACAAAATACTAACAAATCGTCGAAATTTGATACTAGCAAAATTCGATTATGATTACACATTAACTTTACAAAGAATAGAGCGTTTGCCGCTTCGAAATATTAAATTTGAGATTTTGCGGATACAGCCTGGGGTGGGTTCAAAATTAAAAATTATGATAATATCGCCGAAGACTCCATGAAGTGAAAAGAGAAAAAATCCTCAGAAAGAGGAGAAAAAGCTGCATCGAATGGCACATTGTGCGCCGTTTGATGTTCTGTAGGTTTGGGATGACCAAAAGTGGAATTTGATAGTATCAGAAAAATGATTTTGAAAATTTTTGAAAGCCAGCCGAAGGTGCCTATAAATTTGCATTGCACTTTGTTTACGCTCTCTAACAGCTATCAAAGCTTTTCTAAATGTTCACAATGAAGATTTTAAAAAATTGCCAAAGTTGGGCATGGTAGAAACCGTGAGTTTGAAATTTCAGCAATTATCTCAGAAACCACTGAAACAAATGGTCCCAAAACATGACCGGTGGAAAGAAGAAGATAAAGTGCTTTTAATAGTCCCTAGCGCATTTGTCTGCCTTTATTTCACTTTTTATGACAGGTTGAAAAAACGGGAAGAACTCTTAGACCGACCTAATATTAGCATAACTCTTACAAGAAACTCGCGATATAATGTGAACACATAAGAAGAAAATAAATTGCTAATGTGAGATTAAATCATTCTGATAGATGCTTACTTTAACGACTGTATGTCATTCTACCATAAATTTGACTTGCATCATTGACACAAATGAGACATTTTATCAGTTTTGCAAAAGGACGAGAGGAATAGCATCTTGACCAGATTGAAGCAAGTAAAGTACACAGCTTGGAAAGAGCGGCTCGATGTAACAAGAAGGCTGATTCCCATCGATGGTTTGATTTGGATAACGGATCACAAAATTATCAAATTTTGCGGAAACGGTTTGTTAGTTGTATTCGATGGGAAATAGTCAAAAACAAGAAAAATCAGTGAGAAAGAACGCTTTCATCACACGGAAGCAGGCTCGTGAAGCTTTTGAATTGCTATGTTGCTTTCTTATGCACAACCGCTTCCTTGTTTACATAGCAACAGATGCGTAGCATCTTTTCGCTTTGAAGAGTTCGAAGATTCGAAGGAATAAAAATCGCTAAGTGATTTTCGCTTGACTCGCATTGATCTCTTGTAATCAGGAGTCAAACTCTAACAGCGACTTCCCGGCACCATCTAATTTTGGAAACCTTTAGTTTCTCGATTTGAGAAATTGTTGTCTTCATCATAAAGAATTAAACTCCTTAGCCTTCTAATGAATATTTTTTAGAATAAGATTTTGTGTTTTCTTGTTCTTGTTTTTCTTGTTTTTTCAACGAGCTTTTCCAAGAAGTAGCAAAGTGTCGGAGTTGATTGAATTCTCCGAAACGAGCGACCTGAACTTCAGACAAATGAATGGAAAGGTCATCATTTTCTTACGAACAACCGATGTGAGCGAATTCTCAGAATCAACGACTTTTCTTTTTCATTTCGTCGCACTTGTTCTTCAAAATTCTTTCATCTCAAACAAAAATTCGTTTTCGAGTTTTTGTGAGTGGCAAGAATATACTAAATTGAAGAATACTAGAAATACTTATTGATACTAAATTTGGCCAATCAATTAGGTCAACTGACAAGCCATTTCCATGACCCGAAAAACAGCAAAAGTTGCAATATTAGAATCATCAGATGAAAAATCATTTTTTGGTTTTCACACTATTTTTGGTGCTGAAAGTGAGCTTCAACCATGCTCGGATTAGCTCCTGCTGCTAATCATCCATGGCGGACTCTAAGCGAGGAGTGGAGGTAGGGAAAGGAGGCGCTGGAATTTGAAAATGATCTGCGAGTTACAAAACAGCAAATAACCTGTTTCTATGCGTATAGGGAGAAATAGTGGTTTTTTGTATTTTATTCATGCTAGGCTGGGCCTACGGGGCACAGTTTTTCTATTTGCAACATTGTTCCAGCTCTTTGACAATTCTAACAATCTCCAAATAATTTGGGAAGGCCTGGCTACTGCAGCTTCCTTATTCTATGATACATTCAAGATTTTTCTTAGTCCTTCTTCTTGTCCCAACCCTTCGAAATTTCTCAGCGCCCTACTACTGTTCTGCATTTGACCTTCTTTGTTCCATACCCATGCATTCTTCTGAATACAGTTTCGTGTCTATCACATTTCTAAACAATTAAGCGACATTCAAAAAAACTTTTTATTGCTAAATTCTTTGTAGAAAGGCCCTAAAATAAATGAGTTGATCGCAAAGTACAGATTGCTGGCTGCTGCGCATAGGACACGCCTGTAAAGATAAGGCTTTTAGTGTTTCTACCGCCTGTATCGGGTCGAACCAACAGCTGCCGAATAGATGCTTGACGAGAAACGGACCAGCACTAAGGGTACGTGGATTCCTTGTTCCTGATTTTTTGGGCTCTATATTAGTAACTCTGGAAACACATGGTGCTCTTTGTGGCTGTGGAGAAAAGTAAACCAAAATTATGTCTTATCCATAGTGGATCTTCTACGTCTACTATTTATTATTGTTGTGGTTTTTGTAAAAATATGTGATTTTACGTAAACTAGTCAGAAAATCTCCGCAACCCTTTAGTTCTGCCGTACAGGTTTGTTAAGATGCAGCAACATTGGAGAGTTTAACTATTAGTTTTTGGCGATTTTCATTCTCAAAGATACTTGATAATTGGAACATCTAATGCTAATCACTTTACACTACCAAAGCTGCTGCTAGGAAACCCAAGACATGCCCCTCAGATGAATATGTTATGCAGCCGAAGAATGTTTGATTTAAAATGGCTGAGATTGTTGTTGTCAGAGGTCGCGTACCAACTTCATGACTCATGACAACCTCGACGGAAGCTCCCCTCAAGAAAGCTTTGATTTTATTGTTTACTGTTTTTTTTCGTTTTCTATGAAAAGCGAGGCACGCCAACTTTTCACTTTTGTTTCGAGCTTGAACTACATGACGACATCACTGATAAGATTCACGCGGGAGTAGAACAAAGAATGATCTCATAATCAAATTTTCATTTAAGCTTACCAAAATTCTTTTCTTAGCAGATGGATTAGATTGGTGTAAGTTTCCATATAGAGCGCTGCACTTTTTGACAATATCGGATCAAAACGCATATACGCGATCAATCCCAGCTTTATATGCGAATTTTCTCTGCTGAAAATATTTGTAGGATTTCTGTAACATACTGAATGAACCATTTTTTGTTGTACATTCAAGACCGCTAAAAATACTTTTTGTAACATTTCGACATATCTTTGAGCTTTGCAAATGGAAGTTACTCGCCATTGAAACACGATTTGAAAGTAAGATTTTTGATCGGTGAGGACTGAAGTGCATATACGTGAACCACCATTCGAACCACCCACCAAGCTCCACTTCGAAGTAGTAACCACAAAGAAAGCTTTGCTTCTTCTTGAGTAGGAAGCTATAATCTTTGCTCCATTGCTGTAGGAAACTTGATTCGCCTGCTATAAAGCAAGAACGCTGATCAAGGCGGTTTGCACGTGGTGATTTACGTAGTCATTTAAACAAGCGGTACACTTGCTCGCATGGATTCTCGAATTCTTAGAATTTTTTCTTCGAATTCGAATTCCAGTATTCGGAGTCGGAATAACTTACCTACACATCTAATACCCTCTTAAAGTCCATGAAAACTGCGAATGATTAGAATTTGCTCCTATCACTTTTTACCCTGATAACTAGGCCTTTTTATCCTCTGAAAACCTTAAGAGCTCGGAAAAATTTCGTCATCCAGACTTAGGCTTAGAGAGACTGAATGAGAAGTGGACCCACACATGGACCTCAAAGTCTACTTCTTTAAGTAGTCACTAGTCTTTGGTCACTTCAGGGCTTGCCGCTTTCGAAGCGGAGTGCACGAAAATTTGAGCAATCAGCAAGTAGCAAGATCATTATGAAAACAGTCTTCTCGATTCTCTATACTATCTTGATTTGGTCGGACAAAAGTTACAAGAAATCTTGCAGAATATATGCGGACAGAAAAGCTGAATGCATAGAAAAGTACCCAGAAGTAGGAAAAGATGTGTTTAGATGCTGACCTCTCCAGTCTGTGAAACAACATTGAAAAAGCGTAACTTTTACAGTACACTCCAGATTAACTTCTACCCTTATAACCGCCACTTTTATAAGAATATCATTCAATCCGCTTATTCAAAAACAAACTGAATTCGAAGTAGAAAAAGCAGAAGTGGCAAAGAGAGCTGTGATATCATTAGGATGGCTGACAAACGATTTCGTTTTGTGACTCGTACAAAACTTCATAGCAACTCTAGTTTAAGATTTTATTCAGCCAAAATTTTTGGGATGAGGCACTTCCAAAACAACATATCAAATATCAAAACTTTTCCGTCATCAATAACGATCATGCCCTCATATGACTAACTTTCTGAAAAATCATTTTTTGAAATTCCAAGTTTCGTTTTCAATGTTTTATGAGTGCTCAAATTAAGTATTAGGTGGATGTAAAGTAATGTGCGTTTTTCCAAACCTTTATTCAGGACAACTTTTTTTTATCAAAGTTATTCCTTTGAAACAGATACAGCAGATCATTGGAAACACTTTTCTGCACTATCTAACGATGGTTGAAGTTTGCTTCCAGCCTCAATTGTTAAAATGTTACAGAGCTCCAAATAACAGGATCCAAAACTAGAATTTCGTTGCATTTACATTTTTGGCCAAAATTCAAATGCAAATAGACGGCGCTTCTGCGAAAATTTAGCTTCTGCATGCAAAAGAAATTGCCTAAATTACGCACATTTAACTACTTGCTTTGGAATTATCTAGACTGAGATATCGGCGCCTCAACATGGGTAGCCGTTGCGGCCATTCTATGGCCCATAAATCTATGTTGAAGAAGACAATCGCCGAAGCTTTGCTCAGTTCTGTGAGCGTAAGGGTAGGCCTCTTGTTGACAGTTTTTGCAAAATTTGTTTAGCTGTTAAGTACCCAGAAATCATAAAAAATCCATAATTTGGGACTTCAAAGCCTACGAAAAGATGTTGCAAAAGACTGACAGTTTCAGATTTTAATGTTCCTGTGGACGCTGCGCGCAATGATGCGCGGCAACTCAATCATTAATTTCAAGGTATCCAATCGTTCTAATTTGTGTTCATGTAGTCACTTTGGGCTAACAAGGGGTATTTGTTAAGGGGTATTTCACGTTGGCCCGCCCCTTTTTTGGCAGGGTCCGTCCACCCCGTCGCCGCCCACAAAAGGCTTTTTTCGTCTTTAAAGCGCAAAGAAGAGGTCGTAAGTGAACGCAGAACCTCAAGCGACTTCAACCTCGCCCGCCCCCCCCCCCCCGGTGGCAAGCTCCGCCCACTTTTCAAAAATGTCGGAATTCGCACGAATTCTTGAAATTTAAGCAAAATCCAGCATTTTTGTTGAGTGGGCGGGATTGACAAAAGGAGACGGAGCTGAACCGCTCACTTGTAACTGTGCTGTTCACGCAAAGATGCATGCTTACATACATGTAGCCAAGCGTAAAAACGGGAAACGGCTCGTCCACAGGGACAGACACTCAAAGAATGGCTCGTCGTCAACGTATCAAAACGAGGTTTTGGGAAATAAAGTTTTTTGTTCATTGATCCAGATTTTTCTGCTCGTTTGTGATCTGAGTAGAAGTAGATGCGCGCTGTATTGCGAAAGGTTTGTTGCCTCTGATAGCCCCGCATTCTAAAATGTAGAATCCTTAGAAAGTTATAGCACGTCGAAATCAGAACTCGCAAAACGGCCATTATTTTTGCATCAACCTAATAATTTGGTAAATGGATGTAAGGTTCATTTATAAAATCTTGACGACGGATTTGACTGCGGTCATTGCGCCCACAGAAGCATAACACCTTCATACAAAAAGGCATTACCTCAACGGTCAGCTTAGTCACTTCCAGTGTCCAAGTACTGTCACACCTAAGCAGAAAAACCAATCAATAGTAATTAAAACCAAGAAAATGCGGTTGACGCTAAGTGCGTGCGTGTCGCGCGCGGTCGCGCCATCGTCAAGAATTTTCGGATGACCTATATACACGCTCTACGTATACCACAATGAAAACTGTGACCTACAGTTGCCGATTTGTGTGGTCAAAAGTGTGAGAACTTCCTGACATCTGTGCAATGAAAGCTATTTTTTGGTAGTCTATATCGCTTGATCTTGACCACACATGGTCATGCAAATGGTTGCAATTATCCAATGTGTATGTGTAGACCATCCATACATTTTATATACATCCAAAGTTGGTTTTGATTGCATGCCTTCTCGAAAACATGCAATGAATGTGCATGAGAATATCTGGGTATTTACCTTGCAATTTCATCTTCCAAAAAAATTCTACTTATGCAAAGTAGACCATTTATTTCTTTCTGAAATACTCTCTACATTCGTACCAAGCATTCATGCAAAAATATGTCAGCCACATTTCTATTAATCTTCAAAAACGGCCAAAATTCCTATTAGCCAACCTAATGACTTATGAATGATACCACTTTTATCATTGTTCTTTCACTGTATTTCAGGTAGCTATGATCTATCCGAGGCATCGTCAGAGCCAAAAACGGTCATGTACACAAGCTGGGGAGACATGCTCAGGCACTGGCCAAAAACTACGCTCTGCATCGTCTCTAACGAATTTTGCGAACGATTCTCGTACTATGGAATGAGAAGTAGGGCTAAAGTCCGTTAGCTGCGATCCGTCTCCATGTAAATTTTTTCAGCCGTACTTATTTTGTACCTGCTGAATGTGTTGAATTTCTCCGAAAACCAGTCCACTATATTCTTCAACAGCTTTACGGTACTTTGCTACCTTACTCCTCTGCTCGGTTCAATCATCGCAGACGGCTATATCGGAAAATTCTGGTAAGACAGAGTGCATTATCCTTTGTTGAGATTAACTCAATGCTTTGGATGCAAAATTGCAATTTGCACTTTTTATCTGTGTCTTGGCCAGGGCTATACCTTCGCAGCCAGTTTTGTTACGTCAGCATATTTTTAGGACAATTTTCTCAGTTTCTATACTGTATGCTTGTGGGCAAATTATCCTCGCAGCTGCATCCGTCAAGAACAAGGAGTCAAGCGTTCACCCGTAAGTTCACACCTAACACTTGACTCAATTATCATCACGTCACATTACCGGAGGTTTACAGCACCTGAGAAGTTGCGTTGCTCCTTCATTTTCGCTTATCAGTAATCATATCTACTAATCTACCAAACTTCAAAATAGTGCGCATCACTGAGAGTGCGAAGGTGTAGAAGCTTGTGTGTTTATCAATCTACGTAGTTCATATCAGCTAACATGCTGAGGCAGCATAAATTACCAGATTAGATGACTACGTGAAAACGTTGTTGACCAGTGGGGTATGGACCTTCCAGGAGTTGTGAGAACAGCGGACAAGAAAAGCATGTTTAGTCGTATTACACATATTGAAGGACATAAAAAGCTGATTCCAAATCCGCCTTTCTGATTTAAGGAACATTTATGGGCGAGGAGTCATGAGCGTTTATTGGAGCAAAAAATTAGATGTGCCTTCAAAATAAAATGAGTTGCTAAAATCTTATTAGCCCTCAAACAAAGCAACCGAGTGTGATATATTTTTTTTTATCCTAGATTCACTGGAAGTGCTCTTATAATTAACACTGCTCCATATAAGCGCTAGAAGAATTATTGCTGCTATTTTTGTCCTACTTGCATATTCAATTTTTTGCTGCAGTAAACGTTCATAACTCTCTGTTCATAAAATTTGGAATCAGCGTGTCATGCCCTCCAATAAGGTTAACATTACATCTACATAGAAAGGCCACTTCTACTAAACATGATTCTCTTGTGAGCATGAAATAGAAGTCGTCTTCAACGCTTCGAGTCTTCCATTTCGACGTTTGTATTCACCGCAGAAACATTTTCAGATGAGGATACTAAAGAAACTTGATGCTGGGTCATAGTCTACCCTTACTGAATGTGTCACAGAATCTCGCTTAAGATTAATAGTGACGAGGTATTCCAATACTGAATGCAAAGAGATCTATTAAGCATCAAAGATGGCATTAAAGAATACATGGTTCAACCTGGTGTGAATAGGTAATTTCAATTACGATAGTGATCAGGGCAGTTAGGTTCCATTAGGTTGCAAAGCAGATGGTGCGCTCCTCTACGCCAAAATTATATTTGCAGTACATATTTGTTAATCTTTCATCAGCTACAATACCGCTCACATTTTTTGAAAAAAAGACGCGAATGTATGGACATGTACGGACATGTCCATACATGTATGGACATGTCCGTACATGTCCATACATGTCCATACATTCGCGTCTTTTTTTCAAAAAATGTGAGCGGTATTGTACAGCAGTAGTTGACGAGAGTTGAACACTCAGAAAGTGAAATTTTGAGAATCTGGCCAAGAATTGCCAATCAGTTAAGCAGGATCTGATTTTCGTTTTGTTTGGCTTCCCAACCTATTCATCCTAAAAAATTTGGATTGTTTGTTGTAATGCGAGTGATTGTAATTCCCGATCTCTTTACTCACATCTCGTTTTGATATCTAATAAGTATGATAAGATACAATATGTAATGTGTAAGAAATAGTTGAACCTGCTCTACTGAGTGGTACTCAGAGCTAAGCAAAAAAACTTTCGAAAGAGGGCTATTAACGATCAAAAAGTGATCAACTTTTGGAACACCTTGTACGATACGAATTGAACCTTTTTTCATTAACATTTCATGGCCGATGCTTCAAATATTTGGTGCAGAGTGTGTCCGTCCATAATGCTTCAAAGCTAACAATAAGCTAAGCGATCAAGGTATGGGCGTGAATGTGTTGATATCTCCAAGTTTTGAGGTCCATAGTTGAGTATAGTGAAAGCGTCCAAACATTCATTGTGAAAATACGCAAAGCACTGATTATGTTCACTCAAAATGGCCTTTCCATATGACACATAGACCACTTTGTAGAGCATCAAACAGTGATTAACTGTCTTTCTTATCTGCCAAGTGCCTATAGATGCCGAATTATGAATGTATTTGAGTTGAAGAATTGAAAGCGCGATCGAAACAAAATCCAGAATTGTTCAAATGGTCCAGTACTAGAGGTTCATCCATTGGATACCTTCTGTCTGATACACCCATACTCAACATCGCCCCATTTGAGCACTGAAGGGACCGTAATATGTGATTTTACGTAGATTCTGCGTTCAATTTTCGCTCCAAAAAACGTCCAGGGGCGACGAGGTTATGAACGGTGGCGCATGGGAGATACTGACATTGAGAAGAAAATTGAAATCAGCGTTAAATGCTCTTCAGAGTGGATTAGGACTTATTTAAAAAGGCCATTTCGACTACAAAACCTTCCCTTGTTAGCAAAACCTTCATTCGCCTATTCTCGCCTGTTATTGTTCAATTAACTCGATTTTCAAGGCAGTGATGTTCGAGTATATAGCTCTGCAGCTTTGATTAAGAATGTCTTAGAGCAGAGTACGAGTGCGTAGAAATCCGTATGATTACTGGAAAAGTGGTTTAGTACTTATTTAAAAAGGCCACTTCGATTGATATAGTTTGATTCAACGCAACATAGCGGTTTTGATTTCTCAAGATATGTTAGATATTTGGCAAAAATACAACAGTCTCTGTTCCAAAACTCACAGTGTGCTTTTGTAAATGTTTTCATCTTCTGTGAGAAAAAACACCTACTTAAATTATAGATGGATGGATTTGGCAGGACTAGTGATCATAGGCTTCGGTACAGGTGGAATAAAGCCTTGTGTTTCTGCTTTTGGAGGTGACCAGTTCGAAGTTGGCCAGGTAAGAAGCACTTCAAACGCTATTTCGTTACTTTATTCAAATATAAGCAGCTTTTCACAAAATTTCCGAAATACAGAAAGGATGTGTTCCAGGAGCGAATGCTGTCGTTGTTCTTTTCTATGTTTTACTTTTCAATTAATGCTGGCTCAATGATTTCTACATTTATATCTCCAATTTTTCGATGTAAGTGCAGATTTGCTCTTCTACTATAGAGGATGTGCTCTGTATTTAGCTCAACCATGCCTTGGTCAGGACTCCTGCTACCCAATGGCTTTTGGAATTCCCGCTATTTTGATGATTTTAGCTACATGTACGTACCGCTTTGACTTTACAACATGCATTTTTCTCAGCAGGAAACAAAAGCACGAATGTAGAAGTTCCTAAAACTCCTGCGTGCGCGTTTGTTTTTTCAACTGATAGATTCCTTCTTCCAGGTTTGTTTATGGCAGGGTCTTTCTGGTATAAGAAACCTCCTCCAAAGGAGAATGTATTCGCCGAGGTCGCAGGTGTGATGACGGTTTGTACTTTTGAATTATATGCAAGCACCTCGATGACCACAGTCCATGCGTAAACTATTTAGAGAGCCATCCGGAACAAATTCCATTCGAAAACAAGTAAACAACACTGGCTTGACAACTACATGGATACCCATGTTTGCGAAGATGATCCCAGGTAGGCTTTCTTTCACTTTACTATTAACTCATCTAACTTTTTTTGTGGTACCTCAAAATACTATCGCACACTCTATAACTTGTCAAATCTTTCCATCCAGTTTTACATCAGAATCACTCAACATTTATAATTTATCTTAGAAAATCTGGGCTCAAAAAGCAAACGAGTATAAAACGATACACTAGAGATTACTGGCTAGTGCAGATAAGCAAGTGTTATCGCTTATCTTACAACTACATATGAGCGTGCAAGCACTTCAAATCGTTGTTGTTAAGACAGAAATCGAAGAAAAACAAAATTTACGCTCTGGCATGGAAAAGTGCTAAAATTTTAAGTAAATTCGCGATTTGTAAGTATCTCTACAATAAGTCTATGTTGCGGCAGTCGACAGTTCCACTGATAGCTATAAAAAGAAGTGCGTCGAAATTCGTTTACTATAATGGCTCAAAAAAAATTAATAACAAAGATCATCAGATAATTTTTTTAGATGTCTCGCTCTGCAAGAAGAAGTGAGAAGTAAGAAAGCCTGCCAAAAAGTAGGTTGAAATCCTTGCGCTCAAATTTACTGGGCTAAAAATGAAACATACCATGCGCATTTGTTGTAGCGCATCTTTATCGAAGATGTGAAGACGTTACTTCGTGTACTCATCATGTTCTTGCCTGTACCTATGTTTTGGGCGCTTTACGATCAACAAGGTTCAATTTGGCTCATTCAAGGTAAGTCAAAATGGCTGGTGAGAACAAGTATCCAGGTAACTTTCCAGGCATTCAAATGGATTGTCGCCTGTTCGGAAATCTTCTACTGCTTCCCGATCAAGTACAGACGTTGAACGCTGTTTTGATTCTCCTGTTCATCCCACTATTCCAAATTGTCATATATCCACTGGCGGGAAAATGCTTCAATCTAACGTATGTGATCGCCTCTTCTCTTGAACAACTTTAAAGGAGTACGGTGGCATAGTATTATATTAGGTCGTTTCATAAGTTTGTAGAGTTTTGATTCTCTTCTCATTTCTTTGAGGGGCGGTTGAGGCGGCAAGATGCGTATATCATCGAGAAGAGCTGATCATGCATTTCGAAACAGACTAATTATCTTCTATCAAAAGCTGATTTGCTTTGATTCTTCAGCTTCCAAAGAGGGAATTTTCAAAAGGCAAAAAGAAGCTTTTACGGCACTTGCTCTTTCTTCTTGTTAAAAAAAAGTTTTGCTCAGATTTTCTTGCCGATTATGGAAAAAGGCGTTTTCTCGTCATTAGACAAAAAAGGGATTGGATTGCTTCAAAAACAAAGAGTTCGTGGGGCGTCACCTGAACAAGACATTTTGCAGGATGGGCAGGAAGTTCTGCACTGAGTTTTGCTAGGTAGTAACAAGATGGTCGTCCATACCGTATGCAACCCAACTGCACGTCTAAACTAATCCCTACTGCACAAAAAGCCTAATAAACAGGTCTAGTGAGCTTTTCGCGCGAAGAAAAAATTGGTCCCCTACGGCATCCTTCGTCATAGCTGTTCTGCAAGACTTGACCGGGAGTTACATTAGTACTCAATGAGTCCTGAGATGTCGCTCTAGCACATTGTCATCTGCTCCAGTCTATCGCCGATCATATAGACGAGGTCTGTTTTGATTTTGAACGCGATCTCAAGCGCTGGTTAGGCGACTTTTTTGGGACCGGACCCGCTGAGTTTTGGAAAAACGGAACTGAAAATCTGATGGCATGGCGATACCAGATTGTGCGCAATACCTGAATACATTTGATTGAATTTTGCGAAAATTTGTCATTTCGTTGATTTAGATGACCTGATATGTATATAGTATATTATTGTTGACGGGTGAAACTGCGTCTATTGGATGGAATCCATTTTTTTCTTTAACAGACAAAATTCTTAGGAAGTTTGGGTGTTCTAACATATTTCTTAAAATCACTCGCATCTTGCTGCCTCCCCGCTTCCTCAAATTTGATGAGCGGCCGTGGGTACATTAAAATAAATTATCGATATCGCAAAGTGGATAAACTGTATAAAAATACTGCACTCGGGAAATTATCAGCTTGTGTCAGATCTTGCTGCCAAAAAATGCTAAAAAAGATCTCGAATACTTGAGCAATTTGAACGAAACTGGTGATTTAAATTTATCTACCAATAGTTTTTTCTAGTCCACTTCGTAAAATGGTCGCTGGAGGTTTGCTTGCTTCGCTTTCGTTCCTCGTGACTGGATTTGTACAACTAAGTGTCAACGTTAGCATTCAAACTCTGCGCTCAAATACATAACAGCTAATAAATATTTTTTTTAGCAAACTCTTCCATCACTACCGGTATCAGACGAGGCATATGTTAGCATATGGAATCAACTAGACAGTTGCAATGTAACTGCGACTTTTCCTGGATTCCCACCGCACACGATTGCTCCTAATGTGGTAAGCTGCCGAATTTTATGTGTTACAAATCAAGTTTGATCAAGTATTCATCATTGAAGATGTATTGTGTAATTCAGTCTATGATTGACAATCGCAACACGGGTGAGGCTTCCTTTCATCTCAAAGCGCCGAAGTCCAAGACAACTTGGTCGGTTGATGTTCAGCTCGCCTACTCTGGATGTTCTGCGGATCAGTATAAGGTACGACTACCCAATCCTGTCTGTAAACTAATGACAACGTCCTTTGCAGAATCTACCTACGAAGTTCACAACTAACCTAGAGACGACGAAAATCTACTATGTTGCGGTTAGCACCAATGGTGTCTATCAGGGAGTAGCGGACCCATCAAAGCCAACGCAGGGAACGGGAGAATTCAGTTTGGGGTAAGTGAGTGAAAGGAGTGGTTGAACTATTTCAGAAATGACTATTTAACCATGCCTAGAGCTTAATACGAAGTCGGTATTAACTTGTCCCGGAAATATAAAGAACCTGTCCAAGACTCCAGGGCTCGGCACGCGTGGCCTTACAAGGGAATGTTTAGAAGTGGAAGAGACCAATCCAAACAAGCTGCCCACCATTCGATGCAGCATCCAACTGATTTCGAGCTGATTTTGAATCTTTATTCCGTATCTGTTCAGCGCCTTTGTGAACGAAGTTATGAGCAATTCTATTGCACAAAATCTCACATAAAAATTGCGAAACTGAGCACATTGTTGCACTTTCAGCTTACTTTTAGGCTTTAATAATACAAAGCGACCTAACTGTATGTTTTGACCCAGCATTAAGCTTGTGCACGGTTCTGTTGATGTGTGATGCCAGGTTTGTGCGCTTTGCATGCACGTTTCTTACAAGGGAAGGATAGTTGGATGCCGCGGCCATTCCTAATGATTTGTATACCAAAAAATGCGCCTTCGAATGCAGATTCTGAATCTGTGCTCGAAATCTGCGAAGCGATCTTTTGAAGAAAGTTATGAACTTTTTTCCTTGAAAATTTAGTCTACTTTTGGATAGTAAAAATCACCAGATTTGATCTAGCCTACCGTTTGATGCTACTGAAGAAAATTTTAGACGTAGTAATATTTATTTAGACTATCTGGATCATACTCAGCATTTGGAAAGGAGAGAAAATTTTTTTATTGATGATTTTGACCCTCCGCAGGAACGCAATTTTTTTAATGAAAAAAAATCATAACTCCATTCAGATTATCGTTTCGCAGATATGAAAAACAGTTTACGAACCAGCATTCAAAAGCGCATTTTTTGGTATACAAATCATTATGAATGGCTACGGCATCCAAGTATCCTTCCCCTGTTAGCAAAATGAATTCGGTTAACGGCTCATAACTTCGCCCACATAGGCGTTAAGCAGGTATGGAATAAGGATTCGAAGTCAGCGTTTCATGCTGCATCTAATGGTATGCAGCTTGTTTGGATGGGCCACTTCTATACCGGACCATACTTTTGTTAGAGCGCTTTTGCAAAAGAAGCCCCAATGTCATCGCACAATTATTTTGAAGTCCTTTCGATTATGATATGGGAGCTACAAAAATTGAACAAAGTTATTGCAAAACTTGTTCAATCACATAAGTTTCACCAAGGAAAATAATTCAAAGAAGCATTTACTTTAGTTTAACAATGTCACAAAAAAAAGCGACAAATAATAGTACATAATACATCCACTCACCCGTGAGTTGGGGTGTTTTACTTATGGCCCAAAAGACGAAGTAGACCAAGCCGAAAAGCAGAAATTAGGTTTACTCTCCGGGATTTATGCTAACTAACCCGATCAGTTTGGTAAGAAATCATCAAGTCCGAGAACGGCTACTACAATACATAAGCTTCCGCAACTTTTTGCGCAACATAGTTGTGAGATATATTGTACCTATGATCCAAATTTTGTTTCATATGATCAAACTGTGCGCTATAACAAGCTATTTGTTTAGTTTAACCATTTAAAATCGCGCGCTTGTGAGAAAGAACACGTTAGAGCATATCGGTCATGCACCAACGTGGTGGTAGAGCAGGTGAGCACGTCTGGAGATCATGTTCTGGAGATCATGTGCACTAGTGACGGTCCCAGGATTTACGTTCCGAGCGGGGGGGGGGGAGAGAACTTTTTTCGAGTTAAGGTGCGTAGCGTTAGTTACACACTACAATTCTTGGGATGCTTACCAAAATTTTTGCGCGCCCCTTGCCCGGGCACCCATGCCCCCGGATTTTTTACAAGACTAATTTGGATTTTAAAAATTTTTTCGAGTAAGGTTTCAATTATCCACAAGTACAAACAAGTCACGTGCACATTTTTATAACTCGCAAATAATTTTCAAAAATTTCACGAACACCATATGCAGTAGCTGGTACTCCTTACATGTACAAGCACACATACTAAATCATTCAGCATTGTCACAGCTACGACACCTCGATATGACGGTAACCTTGTGATGTGTCGAATGGATGCTGGTGATTTTGATCCTAAGCATCCATGCAATCCTCGCAGTCCCTCTGACTTCTACTACTGGGAGACGAACTATGACCAAGGCACCGATGATCGTGACAAGAACTACACGTTCTACACCAATAGTGGAGCCAACAATGGCTACGCCATAGGCTACGTTTTCAAGCCAGTAAAACCTGGAAAGTTAGTTGCTGAGATTACAAATTATTATGAAGTTTACTGCTCGAGTTCTGACTGTTTACTGATTTTAGATGGCAACTGTACTACCTCGATGGAACTCCAAAAAATGTCGGATTTAAAACTCCCGACAAGACTAACATTACAGTCACAGCTACAGGTGTCTTGATGGAAGTTCATAAACAAGGAGCAGTTTATGTCCTAGCCTTGACCGGAACAAAGGCATGTTCAACATCTGAGCCTTTCAGCATTCTATCGGAAAAACATTGAGACATTTCTAGGACAAACCAGTGAAACATATCAATCAAGTAGTGCAGTCTAACTCGGTGACGATTCTGTGGCAGTTTCCGCAAATTATCATAATTACAGCAGCAGAAATTCTTTTCTCTATAACAGGATACGAGTTTGCTTATTCACAGGTGGGGTATTATTGAAGTAAAAAATAGTTTTGGAACAACATTCAAATAAAATTGTTGCTTCAGTCCGCTCCATCTATGAAAGCACTAGTACAAGCGATGTGGTTACTCACAACAGCAGTAGGTGACAGCATTATTGTTCTAATTACCGCGCTTAATTTGTTTAATAATATGGCCACCGAATTCTTCGCTTACGCAGGTAAAAACAATCATTTACTCCTACAAGTCTTAACTTGCTTATTTCAGGAGCTATGTGTATTGTCATAATCATATTCGCTCTGATGTCCATCTTCTACTACGATTACAACTATTACACAAAAGAGAAAAAGCCAATTTATGAACCCGATGATGACTACATCACCTCAAAACACGACGTGAAATTGAGAGTAAGTTCACCAACAAGCAGTGGCTCTTTATCCTTTGCATTCCCGTCTCTTCAGGCCTTTTCGCTTGATCCCCACGATGCAGAATATCTATTTACTCCTGATGTACGGTTAGATGATATAACGATACCGGACGAGCGGTTCTGATACATTCGAATGATCAGTTGTATGATAAACAAAATATTGCTAAGCTATCATGTCAAATAACATGTCAAAATTTTCTCGTAAACTGCAGAATAGCTATCAAATTCTAAAATTAATATCGCTACTTGGTGTCTGCTGATGAGATATATATTATGGCATAGAAGTGCTAACACATATGCAAGTACCAATGACAGTATAAGCGATTATTGCGTTTTCTTCCTGCAGGTGAAAAGAGGGGCAAAAAAATTGCGCAGGTAATATCAGATTGGCCCAAAAGTAAGCTTCATTTTCCAGTAAATTGAGCTGCTTTTGTTTTCCTAAGAGACTTAGGCGTTCAACAAAGTAGGGCAAGCTCCACAAAAAGACCAACATAGATCCACTTGAATCGTAATCCAGGTAAAATTTGGAGCCAAAAATCAAAAATTTTTAGCTATCCAGAAAGTCGGATCACCTTCCAAAAAGTTCCTACGAGCTTCCAACTTCGCCTTTATATAGTAGAGAAATAGTAGTACCCAGGAATGTGATTGGTGGTTTTTTTGGGGCTCAGAAAAGAGAAACAAAGGTGGTCCGAAAACGCAAAAAGTCACTTTTTTCGGGTTTTCATGTAAAATCGAGTATTTTTCGATTATAAGAGCACACAAAGGGGTAAAGTTTTGACATCATACATAGTAAGGCTTGTGGTATATACTGACATAAGTGGTAGGGCTGGGGGCGGAGTTTGCCATTTTTGAACTATCTTTTTATCTTGCTTCTATGCTCGGAAAAAATCCGATAAAGTCATATTTGAGTACCACTGCGCATGCAGAATAAATAATGACCAAATAATGACCAATTTGGAAGACCGTAGGATTTTTTCCCGCAAAAATCCAAATTTTAGGTGATAAAATTTTAAACGATTTTGGTTCCAAACTTTACATGGAATGCGACTTAGGAGGATCCTTCATGGTCATTTTGTTGAGCTTGATTTGCTCCATCGAATGGTACTCTAAGTCTAATAAGAGAACAAAAACAGCTTAATTTAATCAAAAAAGAGTTTAGTTTTGGGGCAACCTAGTATATTAGGACCGTCCGCAAGTTCTACGTTTTTTTTCACCTGTCATAAAAACACGCAGATAATCATAAGCAAATGATTAAGACATGGCTCAAGCAGTTTTTCTTTATCTTTCAAACAGTCATGTTCATATGCCACATAGTTACTCTTGTGGTTTTACTATGTCCAATTACTATGTCCAACTAAGCCTTCATTTTTGCGAAGTCGCAAAATACGCAAACGATCCAAACACTAACAAACCTTCGGAAATTGGAGCTTTTAAAAGCCGATCATAATTATACACCAATTTTGCAAAACAGTCGAGCGCTTACCGCTCCGAAATATTAAATTTGGCTTTTCAAGTTTACAGCTTGGAGCAGGTTCAAAATAGACAAATAGACAATTATCATAATTTTATCGCCGAAGACCTCACGGACTGGGAAAAAAGCCTCATAGACAAAAGAGAAAAAGCTGCACGAATGACACCTTAGTTGTGCGCCGTTCGCAGTTCCATAAGTTTTAGCATGATCAAATGTGGAATTTGATGGCATTATATAATTTCCAAAATTTTGAAAAGCCAGCTATAAGTGTCAAAAATTTACATTGCATTGCACTTTGTTATTCTATCTCACTGCTATCGAAGCATTTCCAGCAGTTCAAAAGGAAGATTTCAAAAAAATGCTAAATTTGGACACGACAAAAACCATGCGTTCGAAATTTCGGCGATTATTTCAGTGACCGCAAGAGTAATTAGAACATGAACATAACTGCTTGAAAAGGGAAGAAACGCTGCATCGAACACTTAACCATTTGCTTACGATTATTCTGCTATGACAGATCAAATGGACGGAAGGAACTTTTGGACCGATCTGATAGTCATGCCCATGGTCAAGCACGTATGCACAGTCACACTACCTCGTTTTTGGGGCTTAACGTAAAGAGGATATTGTAAAACATGCTGAACATAAATGTACATGGCATCTCAGACATGCTTACTTGCTTCACTATCAACTTCAAGTAGATGTTCATAAAACGCGCAGAATCTCAAGCGATGCTAACAAGCAAGTGCGTTGTTTACAGCCTACTTTAATTGCATAATTACCACTTTTGTACCACGCATACATGGTATTCTTGATAATAAAATTATGCAAGAAACTCCGGGGGTTGGTGACGTTGTACCCGCTCTCGGACTACACGGTTTCTAGGACCTTCCAAGCTGGGTTGGTTCAAAGCTTCACTTGAGTTCTGTTTTCAAGACAAATCTTGCGTGGTCAAACCTAACTTTCAGTGAGAATACCGATTCAAAGGTTGCTTCTTCTCTTTTTTCAATAGTCTTGAAAAATTGCTTTAGCAGATATCGCACCTCACTATCGCACCATGGTCCTTTGAGTTTCCGTTTTTAAGTTTCATTTCCAAGCTTTGCGTCATTTCACCACTTCACATTCATCTTAACAGCATTCACACTAATCTGATCTAGAACATGTTTCTTGTCTTTGCATTCTTTCTTTTGTCGTAGATGCTTGAAAAAAGGTGGAGTAAATCTTCTCACATCAAATTACGGAACATAAAAGAAGGCAAGGGGCTAATAACCTGGACAAAAGCGTCACGGTCCTATTATGCTAGGACGACAACGCCATCGATTCAGCTACCAGACATCCACTTTCGTGTGATACGACAAACATTCTCAACAGCATTTGATGCTCGCATCCGGAACGTCAAATTACTAAGAAGGAGTTATGGTTCTCAAGAGAATGTGGCCCTATCCCTATCTATCTCGTACTGATGAGGCGCCAACAAAATGATCCCAATTATCTTCGCGTTTTTGGATCTTGAAAAGACATTGAAGCGAATGTCATGTTGACTGATCTGTTGCGCGCTTAAGCAGCACAAGATTTCAGAAAACCAGAAGAGTATGCCGTGGATCATGCCACCATTATAGAAGTCTCCACGAAGTTAGACTGCCGTTGTTCACTCCATTCAAGTGACCGTGCAACAAATATCAACTTCATCACCTATCTTATTCATACCAGGCGAAACCCGTGACGAAGCACTCACTTCCCGCACCCGCGGGCTCACGTTTACGCGAGTGACGTCCGTTCTGCATGTGGACTTTGGCAGACATATGATGGTGCTGCAAGTTGGATGACGCGCTTCTCCAAATAAGGTTGGTTGTTGAAAAGAATAAGTAATTGGAGTATGGGAAATACACGATATCAATACCAGCGGACAACAAGTAATCATCACAGTATTTGATATCAGTACTAATGTCACACAGTGGAGATGCAATTGCTAGGATGGATACTGCGCCTAGCGCGCAAGATTGTCAAAGATGCCAACGTGCGGCAAAATTCCGAAGTTACTTGGAGTGCGGACAGAAGCGCGTGGGTAAGGCTGCAACGGACAATCACGTTTTGAGAAATGATGATGTAACCGTAGCCAAACAGCACTCCGCTTTGATCTAAAGAAAAGCTCGTGGATGACCAGCTTCGGTTAGACACTGTTTGCCTGCTTCAGCAGGACGCTGCGCAACTGGTAAGCTGATTCGTTTGGCGTCACGCTTGACGGAAGTCGTAGTGGCGTCTGCGTTGTTCGCAACTGCTATAGTTTGGCGAGATGATAAAATTGGCAACAACTATAGTTTTAGCGAGAGGATAAAAAACTCGCAGTATGGGAGATGTTTGTTGTAGCGAAGTCGCGGACACTGATTTGATTTTCCTCTAACGTGACACCAAATAACAGACTACGCCGCATCCTGCTGAAGCAGGACGATCGGTTAGTCTGGCACCTATGGGCTCGAGTATACAATCGGTCTGACGTCGACAGCCCGCGCGCAGTGCAATTACACCATACGCGTGGAGTGGTCTTCTAGCTGTAGTATGACTGCAAGAATAAGTCGTACCTCTCGCTTATCAATAGAAGAATGAGAACCACATGAAAAGCAAAGAAGCCCATATTGTCGATTCTCGTCTAACAAGGGAAGTCACTTAACTTAGGTCGGGCTTTTGAAATGAGACACATATGGTCGGAATCAGCTTGAAACGCTGATTTCAAATCTGCTTTCCTTAACTGCGAAGCGTTCCTCTGAAGCGAGTTATAGTTTTTTCCTGAGCAAATTTTGTGTGTTGACCGACTTGGGCATGCTACTGTATCATCATCTAGGTAGTGGTTCAAATGCATATCATACCCTATCAAAGCCAAATGACTCAATTTGATGTTATTTTGACTTTCCACCACTTTTTGGGCAGATTTTCATCTAAAGACCTTCTTTCCATATTCAGTTATATGTCAATGATACATACTAAAGAAGCTCATAACTTGCTTCAGAGGAACGCTTCGCAGCTAAGGATAGCATATTTGGAATCAGCGTTCCGAGCTGTTTCTAAATATATGTGTCTCATTTCAAAAGCCCGACCTAAGTTAAGTGACTTCCCTTGTAAGAGGCTACTGCTCGCCCGCGTATCGTTGCGGTTGCACTGCGCGGGTACGGCCTGTACTTTTCTTTGAGAAGGTGTGATGGCGCAGAAGGAATACTGTCAAACGACCTTGAGGAGGGGATTGTGAGGATTCGCAATCCATATTTTCCGTCCGTGCGTAATGCTTCCCCCAATAATGTACAAAGATGCTTGGGATGTGCCAACTGCGCACGAGGAGGCTAATGCTGGCTCTCACTCCGACTTTTTTCGCACGCTATTGATGTTCCGCGACACTACCCTTAGTTTATGAAAACAGCGCCTGTAGCACCATAAGGACCTCCTATTTTGGTCCTGGTTGATTTGGACACTTGCGCGAAAGCAAATCCAGACCATATCCCAGTGCTGGAACCGATATCAACCCAGTCAAGCTAGAAAAGTAACACGCGCTTCAACGCAGTCTTCGTCAATATGGATCAAGCCCTACTCTTCAAAAATGCTAGGACACATTAGACCTTTTAAATTGGGTTATTAGGAATGGAAGCTATAAATGAAGCTAACTTGCTAACTTAGATTACGTAATTCCTTTGCGATATGAAGTGCTGCTATTCTAACTATCAAAATTTATGGCTTCAAAAAATACGCACCGTCAATTAAATACTTTTCATGCCTGGAACGGGTAAAACTTAACCTGCTCAAGATTAGTATAAGATTGCATGATGGCACCGCTTACATCTTCATTCTTCATTGTTTATGAACATACGATTAATGATTTTCTGGCTCATAACCTTGTAATTCTCTTCTTAGAAAGTTGTAGCAATTAGAGATAATCACCGTTCAAAAAGAGATTTCATATCATACAAGCAAAATTGACGAGGAGAATTTGCGAATGACAAGAGAAAGAATGTATTCCTATTTACACTGGAGGATGACTCGAACGACGAAAATGCATGCAAACGCATTCAAAAAGTTATAAAAGACACGTTCACATTATTAACACACATGTAGCACTTATTAGCATGCTCTTTGAAGCTGATCCGTCACTGAAGTGGAGGAGGAGAACAATGCATCTTGACTAGCTTCGGTTTCTAGGGGACTTGTCACTCTAGGTCTGCCACTGAGGAATGTGAGTGGGGTTGTAGACTTGCGGAAAGAATGGGTTGTAGAAAACACTCGGCATAGCGACAGTGTTTGGTAGAAAAGACGGTGTGAGTAGTGGCGTTAGATCCGGAAATACCTGCGTCGTTGGTGTCTGAAAAAGAAATTTCCTAGATTTCAGACTCTTCCAGATTTTTGTCTAGTTATGAAGTTTAGTAAATTTTCTTCTCCGTCCAATATAGTGTGTTCGCGGTGCAGTGATTTTACGGGCCTAATTAGCGCGCGAACATATAGCCGTGCCTATTAGACATTTTAGGGATATTTGTTCGGACGCTAATTTGGCCGCAGAGCAAAATCTCGTTACTGCAAACAGACTACGACAAGCGCAAAATCTAGGCTATAAGAGATTTCTGATTTCTTGACATGGATTTGATGGTGAACTCAAGGCAGGTATAGCTATCCGCGTTCTGTGCACAATGCAGCCTGTTGTGTCTATCAGAAATAGTTCATGATTGGACGAGAGAATAGACAAAAAAGCGGCGAGAGTGCGTGAGAAAACAAGAGTAACGCGCAGCACAAGTCGTGCGCACCCTCACGGACGGCCTATGATATTTGCTTAGATCACATGAAAGATATAAAAGACTCTGTCCATGCTAGAATGGATAGCATCAGCAAAAATTTCTCTTTACTTTTGTCATATCAAAATAGAAAAACAATGACTGTAAGCGACTCACCATTTGCTGCATTCGTCCCCATGAGCAACGGATTGTGTTCCCTCCTATCTCTTTGCCGTTCATATCCATGATAGCATTTGTGGCGCATTCTTTGCGTTCGTATCGAACAAACGCATATCCTTGCGCTTTGAAAAGTCTCACTTCTGTGATCTCTCCATGTACCGAAAACGGTTCTCGGAGATCGTTCTCTGCGACAGAAAAAAACTTATTCTCACGAACTATTATGATTCTATGACTCTAAAAATATCTAAAACAAATGAAGGATGAAGATTTAGTGTTTTTGAAAACTTCTCCAGTTACATGCAGAACGCACTCTACTTTAGATGAGGCTACTAAAAGCATGCCAATCCCTACGATGTCCTGCGTGGGTCAGCCGGATACCAAATTAGTGCTACGGCCCTCCCAGATTACTCATTACAATCGCAGTGTGACACATTTCCAGGGAGGAGTTGGGGGGGGGGGGGGACGGTTCCGAATGGAGGAACGTGGTGTTAGCTTTGTAGGACTTTTGGTCCCATAACCCGGGAATAAGAGGGAGATGGCCGCAGCTACGCCTCCGAAAAATTTTGTGCAAGTTTAATGTGAATTTCCAAGAATTTTTTAAAATAAAACTACAGGTCACTTGCGCATTTTTATAGCTTATATGGACTACTTTCAAAAATCCCTCACCCCTTTCCTCCCTCCCCCCCCCTCCTCCCTCCCGGCCGGCGTTGCCAGAAAAGAATTTGGTGTGTATTTGTCCCATGGACCGAAAAAACCAATACAGATTTTTTGGCCATAAACTAGACTCGTTTCATCTCACCGTATTTGAATGACTTGAAACTGTTAAAAAGGAATCAGATCAAAAGCAACCTCCTAATTCTATACCAAGCTTTCACGATACTCGATCATGAGAAGTCACCACAATCTCCTCAAATATTTCTATAGGATGCTGGTCAAAATTGGTAAATTTGCTTTTGCCGTAACAGAAAAACTTATATAGCTGGTAGATGACCTTAAACACTGGCTGAAATCTGGTCGCTTTATGAAGACATACCAGTGGTGTTCGGATTGACATTTCCTACATAGACCGATGTGTTATCTGGTTTGGTGGAGTTGAATACCTAGAAGAGATACATATTCGACCTTTCAACACTTATCGCTATATCTTATTTATTTATGTGCGGAACCTGTTCGAAGGTTAGCTTTTCCCTCGCTTCGTCTGCCGACCTTCGCGTAGCCCAATTGGTGCGGATGGCGCGCCGTCCCAGCCGATAACCATTCATCGATGCTATGGCTTTTTCTGCATTCTGAAAAGTACTTGCAGAAGACTGAAAATGAAATTAAGCTCTTACTTCTTTCGACGGATATGAGACAAATCCATAGCCCTTCGATTTTTGCGTCTGGGAATCGCGGATGACCTTCGCCTCACTAAATGGATACAGATAAATATTGTTTCTTGGGAGCAGGAGAAATCGAGATGGAAAAAGGTTTCAACTGATCAGAAATTTTTAGTAGCTGATATCACGCACCTTACTTCACCATGTACAGAAAAAGCTTCTTTTAATGCCTTATTGTCAACTTCAGGACTGAGATCTCCGACGAAAACGTGGAAGTGCTCTGAAATACATACATGATCCACTCTTAGCCATAAAATTTCACCGAAATCATAGCTTCTGTAGATCTCAAGTTCCCCGGAACTTATCAGAGTTTACATAAATCACGAAGTGAATGCGCAGGCACAATCATCAAGGTCCTTCAAAAGCTACAAAATTGTTAGCCAAAATCCCTAATGCAAAACAGACCCAAATTGTACGCTGTGCATAGATTCGTTCTACGCGCAAGCTACATATCTTTGTACAAAACCCTCTTGAATGCGAATTCACAGCCCTATCGATTTCAACCTTTCAAAGCCATCGAATGGAAATTTTGAGTTTCATGCTGCGATGTCCCTACGTTACGGTAAAAGATTGCTTTAGTGACAATGCACTTTGTGATATAAATCTCGTGCTCTACGGTACTAGTGGGGAGCATGCAATTAGATTTGCAACGAATATTCAAGTTGTAATCAAGCACTTAAAAGTGGGCTGGCGTTGATTGCGAATGCTAAACTCTCAACCATAAATTACGATGAACATGTAAATGCTTCGGCGCTTTTACTGCTTTACTATCTCTTTTAGACGACCACACTAGAGCAATTTTTGATTTAAAGCGATCTGATACTTACTACTGGTATCAATTTTGGGTTCCTGTGGGGCTGCAGCGATAGCTGATTTGATCTCCTGAAAATCGTAATGAGTTACACATCTCAGAAAATCTTTAAAACTTACTGCAGCCCTTTGTAGAGCAGCGAGGGAGACGGGCGAAGCTCCAAAACTATTCTGAGGTACGATAAAGATGGGAATCCCTTCATAGCCACTGTTTGCAGGTTGTTGAAGCTGCATCTATAGACATTTCATTGATTTTGGGTGAAAAGCAATGTAAAGTAAAAGTAAATTCTTATCACCAAGTCCTTTACTCTATTTCAGATGTTGCATATTCGTCAAATCAAAAAAAATTAGAAAAGTTCTTCTACAAAGTTGAAGCTATCATTACAGCTATCACTACAGTTCTTAGGAACTTAGTTGAAGTTCGTACTAACTTTCCTGTAAAAAAGTAGCGGTAGGAATACAACGAAATGGTGGCAAGATTGACATGTGCCGTAGTTGCAAGAAGCAGAAAATTGTGTAAAACACCGCTCAAAACCTTTCATGCAATTCGGTTCAAAGATTTCGCCACATAGATCTCTCTAAGTGCCAAACCTGTTCCTAAGCTCTCTAGTGTGACATATGAAAATTTACTATGCGTCAGAACAGGAGAAGAATTTCTAAAGTAATGTAAAATACAGTCACAACTTCACTTAAAATATTTTGATGTAGTCTATCAGTGTGACTAAAGAATAGCAGAATGTGGAATACGCATCATATATGCGGCGGGAGATGATATGCAATGAACATCGATGATATCGAGTTGTTCGCATAGTTTATATTGTTCACCTTAATATTTCGATGTTTCTCGCTGTTTTTTCCTCTAGCTTTCAAGGGAAAAGCGAAAAGCGGAAATACGGGTTGCAGCAAAATAGCTAAAGTGTTCCGTGGCATAAATGCTAAAGGGAGCGCTCCATACCAGACTTCAAGTACGCTTACAAACTTTTTAGGTTTCGTTCTTTGCTGTAAATTCAATAATTAATTTTATATGCATGCTCACCATCTATATAAATATGCTCTGAAAAGGTAAATTACGGAATTTTTTGAGCTCACTTCCAGTAAGAAAAACCGTTTAAAAACCTTCAAGTACGCTTACGAACTTTTGTGTTTGGTTCCATGCTGTAATTTTTACGTGCATGTTCACCACCTATATAAGTATGCTCTAGAAAGAGAAAAACTGCGTCAAAGTTTTTGGACCCGCTTCCAGTAAGACTGTTTGATAACCTTTGATGTCAAAACAGATAGACTGATGTTTTAATCCTATTTCTGCACAAGTAATTCTACTGCAGCCATCATCAGAATAAACGTAAAAAAATTTTTTGAAAGAAAAGACTTATAAGGAAGTAGGCAAATCGACAATAATGAAGCTTGCTGCCCTCAATTCTGACGCATTAGGATTCTGTACAGTTATACGGTCCAATATCAAGCAATGACGTCAGAACAACGAAAATTGTCATTCCAGTAACAAAAGAAATTGAGAGAATATGGGATGCGGTCGAGGTCACTTGGGTAACAAAACCTGCGCTTCACTAGTACAAACTTCACTAGTTGGGTCACGATGTTATATGCAACACGTTTTATTTATAATACCAGAAATGCCCCCAATATAACGCTTCTACCAAACAAACGATCACTTACCTCACATAACTGATTTGCGAACGGATTAACTGCCACGCACTGGTACTTCTGATGCTGCGAATAGAGTGGCACAGGCGTTGAACAAAGTGAGCTTGGCTTTGTCACTGCAGATATTGATGTTCCGGTCGCTGTTTGTCCAACTGTGGCCATTTTCTGGAGCTTAATCAGAGAAAGGTCACGAGGTATCTATGACGGTACAAGGTTTAGCACTTTACAGTTGATGATGGATTAGTTTGTCATCGCTGTTTTTCCTAGGCAGGAGATCAGCGGGAAACGGAATACCTTGAATTCTTGGTAATAAAACTAGTGAGTCACTAGAATTGAAAGAGTAAGAATTCCCCAAATAATTACGTCACAACCATCACTAAGCTACGTAATCATAACGCGCCAGTTCTGTGGACGTGATTAAGCCAAATACCGCTGCAGAAGTTTCCAAAATGTAAATTTAGCGAGACTCAGATTTTCCAAAATGAGCGCAGTATTCGAATTATTTCACTCATATAAACACATAAAGTTATTTGCACACGTATGCTCTAGAATTCGAATCAAAATTCGGTTTTTTGAAAAATTTTGTGACCAACTATAAAGGCCTCGCTATCTGAACAGTTCGACCTTCACGGCCTTTGTGGCCAAGGGCTCGACGGCCCTTGTGCAAGCCATGTGATCACACTTGATTTTTGGAAAGAAAATTACGTATGTCAGAAGAGGAATAGATCATGTAAACATGACGTTTCATTCAAAATAAGTTTTACATAGGGAACGCTGACATTTTGTGTATGTTTAATTTTGCCCCCGCCCCTTTGAAAGCTACATTGCCCTTGGTAGAGTACAAAGCGCGTTAAAGAGCAACTTCCTTGACAAGTAGGAATATCTATGAAGATTTTTATCAGCATGTTGTAACACCAAAAATGTAAATTTTGTGAGCACAAACAAAGCATAGTACAAAAAATTTATTAGGTTGTAAGGAAAGCTCCCGGGCATTTGCAAGATTTTCTCTAGAACTGCTGTAACTTCAAACAGAGTAATCTCTCCTGGAAGATCCAACCTTTCTTGCAATGACATTGTTGTTTACAGCATATGATTGTTTTGTTGGTTTTTCACCAGCATAAAAAGGCCGATTTTGAAAATGGGCTGTTCGTCAGGGTTATCTCAGACGTGATGGGTGCTGGAGAGCTCATATGCTGTAGTTATATTTGGATGTATGAGAGCATTTGCGTTATAAGGTGCCACTTGCAAAAAAATTTCAAAAAGTTTCAAAGCTTTAGCTCTCCAAAAATGCCCCTCTTTAGTAAATGACTCCAAAGACTCGCCGCTGTGCACAGAAAAACCCAACTTTTGAGTACCGCAGACATTGTAGAGGTGATGTTTGCACATTTCTGGACCCATCGTGCAGTCGCAGCGGTTCCCACAAAAGCGACGCCTGCCGCGAAAAGAATTTTTGTAAAACGCGAGATTGACAGCTTGTGAATTTTGATCACATCGCAGTATTCTAACGCTACTGCAGTTTTATAGTAGACAGGTTCCTCATTCGAATAATCGAGACGATTATGTTTGTTCAGAGCGAATAATTGCAACAGGAAAAATTGTGAAGTTATCATCATTCAAAAGATTTACGTTTTTGGTATGTGAATTAAACAGACTTTGATATCTATATAAATAAGGAACGGCATCAGAAAGTGCGAGTTTTCTTCCATAGAGCTTTTCAAAAAATTTTCCTGTTAGATTCAATCAAAAGCGGGAAAAATGCACCAGAAAATAAAATTTCCAAAAGTGCCCGGAAACTTTCTTTACAACCTAAAATACTGCCCATATCCATACTACATGATTCCAATACCGAGAATTAGCTCCAATATTTTAGGCTATTTGATTAATAGGTCGCTAACGGAACGAAAGGAACGATGCCTAGTAACTAAGACTGGTTAACACTTTTTTTAGTTGCCAAAATAAGGAACCGTATGAACGAGCTCTCTGTTCTTTCCCTAGACTACTTCCTTACAGTCAGCATAAGTTGAATTAGTTGCGAACTCTTATTCGATGTGTATAGTGAATAACGCTTCACCTTCGCCGTGTGCAGAAATGCGACCTCGTTATGGTCGAGCAGGGGCAGAGGTTCCTCTGCCACGCGTGATCGCTTCAGGATTTCTGACTTAGCGAGGCGGGGTTACGCCTCGTGTTAATCTGGAACAAAAATTCAGTTATCAAATCTTTTCCCTAAAGCACAAATCAAAAGTTTAGAGAAGGCGTATGCTGTAAAAAATATCATGTACGAATCATCGTAGCGAAAGAATGAGTTATGCAAAGTGAGTTATACTCAACTACAGAATAAGTGATGTACTTGGAATGCAGAACTTCGTCGTAACCGAGGCTTCAGATTAGAAGCAATAGCGTCTTGACTCGGGAATGACTTGCCATCTCATTTCTCCAGGGAAAAGGAGTAATTAGAAAGACGGAAAACAATTAACATATGTAGCGGTCACGTTGAGGCAGAGGTTGAATCGGTTGCACAGGGTTTAGTGCACTGATTTGAGCTAGGCTCGATTACTGTTCTGTCGTCAGTGCATGAAACCTGAAGGTATTTGCTATGAGTTGTGAGTGAAAAAGGGTAAAAACGACATTGTTTTGCATGACGATGTAGATACGATATTAAGTATAAAAAAATTGCTTACTGCCTTGTTTTCTACATTATGCACTTGACTGACAACAGTAAATTTCTTTTCAATCCAAAAAAAGATGCTGAAAGAAAAGAAAGCGACATGAACGCAAGAAAATTATTAATGACAAGATAATAAGAAAATTCGGGTCTGCCACTGATTACATTTGTAGTGGATAAAAGCAGAAGATGTGCCTCAATTAGGTAGTAGAGCAAATGATAAACCAACAACATGACTAAACAGGAACAAGAATGGTATTTTTTGGCACATTCATGCAAGTTTCAAAAACTTACTTCGCTTTGTAAACTTCAACGTTACGGAACAGAGAAGCACTTTCCCAACTCTTTTGTGATGCATAGCGGCAGTCAATGTTTTGAACATAACGAAATATTGATGATTTCGTTCGATTGAAAGTGTCTAAATGTGTGAAGGACTACACATAGGCCGACCATACATATTTTTCGCTGGTATAAAAGAAAATCCCCTTTCGGAACGACTAGCCTCGCTTGTTCGATCTGGTATTGAACTACGTGGCTGCTCTCGCTCTACATGTTTGTGATTCATCGAACAACATCTGACGAGCGTACAGAATGATGGAAGCTGAGTGAGGGCTGTGATGAAGATGAGCACAGCGAGGTAGCCTCAGACAAGGACTTAGAGGCACAAATGGTTGTCGGAAAATTACCTAATGAGTGCGCTGTCAAAGAGAATTTGGGAAGAGAAGATTGGGCTACGGAAGACTTTGGCAGTTGCTGACGTGATTATCGAAGTCAGGGAATCGTGCTCTCGACAAACTTACTTCGTAAGAATAAGTTACATTTTCAAAAGAAGTGCCATTTAGAACAAATAGAAGCGATGATCAAAAGTGAAGAAACTAAGTCACCGAATGTTAGTGAGAGAAGTAACAGAAATGTTGGTATTTTATGCATATGAAAACGAATAGCATGTGAAATAGATCGCCTTGACAATTCTTTCCATTGCTGTCGCCCAGCAGGTCATGCATAACGAAGGAAGCTGCTTGACGGATCCAATCATCAGCTTATTGTCATACTACGCTAACTTAGACACTAGAAGTTTCATTTTCCATGGTTTCAATGATTGAAAAACTGGATGCATTATATACAGAGACCCAAAGAAATTGTTATTTCTTGCACATGGGCAATAGGAGCAAAGACACTTCATACAGGTACGTGTCTCAATAGAAACGGTAGCGGGATCATGAGGTGAGCAAAATTATGAGAGCTTGTTATTATGAGAATAATGCTCTAAAGCTAATATCAGACATAGCTGAATGTTGCTGTTGATGTAGTGGACAGGCAATAGAGATCGATTGACAAACATAGTACACAGCTTTCCAAATCAGATTCTATCCAACATCAAAACAGCGAACAAGCAAGGTCAGCTTGCTCTTTCGGCACTTGGTTTGAAGCTATCTTCACATAGTCATAGGAGGTTTTATGTTGAGTGCATAGAATGTGGAGCCAAAACTAGTTAATTAGTGCAAATGATATTCTAGCATTGCGCTTTCTCATATTTCTTAACGCCTCTGATATCTGACAGATAATGTCGAATTTTGCGGCTATATATGTCGAACATTACTATTGAAGTTCACTTCAGGCTTCTTACGATTAGCTCCTCATACAGTAATCAGATAGATTTTGATCAATGCGATTCGAAGCCGAAATCTAAGAATGTCTATGTCACACATCATATCTCCTCCCTTCCCCTCTCTCATGATCTTATGGAATTTCTAATGCTCAGGCGCACACTAGCGTGATTTTTTGTAGCTAGAAATCAAGAGAAAATGCTGGATGTAAAATTGCAACTTTGCCTCTAATTGTTTTTCCCACATGCATACTATATAGGTCATACATCAGAGTAAAGCCGCAATTAGTACTCTGAAAAATTATTTTTGATTTATAAAAATAGCATTTGAACGGAAAAATCATAAAGCAATCCAATATTTTGTAAGAACGACTATCACATTCTAAAAAGCATTTTGTAAACAAATATAGACGAATTCATCTTAATCCTTTGTTCCCTCTCTTTCTAGATCTTTGAGACAGCGTTCACGAAAGCGAGGACGAGAGGGTTGTATAGGTTGTAACAGAATTGCGGCAAGTTTTTCGCGCACCTTTTTCAAAATGCTGGTTCAGAACGGAAAAGTGTTGAGTTTCACATATCATTTGAAAGCTCTTTTCTTCTAATTTCTTATGCATTCTTTCGCTTCAGTGCAAGTGAATTCTAGCAATTCTGAGCCCATGAATTGGAAGAACCAAATCTTGAAAATCCTTTTGATATACCCGGCTCTGAAATTACCACAAGTAATCAATCGGAATTCCCTGCGGATTTCATAGTATCTCTGAGTGAGCTATATTACAAAATGCATTAAATCTTCTTCACTTCTGAGAGTATCTGAGCCGAGAACCTGCGGTCCGTTTGCCCTATAAATTATTCTGCAAGATTCTGAGCCGAAAATTCCAAGGTAAAACTCAGCGATCTCTGCGGTAGGTCTGCCCTATATAAAAATCCTCAGCGTGAAGAGACTGCGGAGCTCCCGCTTTATTTAGGAAAACTGAGAACATTCTTAACTGAAAAAAACCAGCCGTTTTTTTTTGTTCAGCTTCGAAAAATTCAAGAGTTCCAAAAAGCGTTTTTCACCTCCTCAGAAAAAATCGAAAAATGAGTACTTTCAAAGCTTTTTAAATATCCTTCCGCAGAACTTTCCGTAAAATTCGAGTTTAGCGCCGCTGCACAAGAGTATAGACTACACAATGATTATTTGCGGGTATTACATTTGAAAGTAAGTTATGGTTTCTCAAAGTAAAGGTTTTCCAAAGAAATTTTCTTGGCAATGTTCGGGCTATAAGATTTTTCCATACCGATTTGAAAAAGGTTTGCTAATCACAAAATTTCTATTGCACACGAAAAGACTATTTGTGTGAAAAGTTATAATGATCCAGATACAAAATTCAGAAAACCTGCGTTAGTTCTCTTTCAATCTAGTATTTCGAATTTCGCGCTCTAGGAGTTGCCATTGTTGAACTGAATGTTCTCTACAAAAGCAAGGTTTCCAGACACCCAAATTTTTGTCGAAATATCAAAAAAGGTAAAGGAGAGTAAAGTAGATAAATCCGAAAAAAAACAAGGTAGATTTGAACGTTTCCGTGGATGGCAGCCGATAATACGCGCCTTTCGACTGTCTCCCGGGCGAGATATTGACGACCGAACATTATTGCCGACCTCCAGTTACAGTTTCCTCTAAATCCACTGCGAAAATTGCTACAAAATCGAGAGGTTTGCTCCATATGAGATATCCGTGAGCGGGTGGGCGGAGCGCTGGTTCCACTTGACAAAAGTTGAAATGCGTGGAATATGAGAAAGCGAATATCTGCAGACCGTTTACTGACCAGAATGACAGCGTGCAGGGTTTTCTGTAAGGTCTGGGTTAGACGCCGTGAAGCTTTGAACCGGCGGAATATCCTATCTTGGACATTTACCGCGCTTTAGAGCCTATGTTCACTTTTGAGGCCCACGCAATGGCGGTCTTAGAATTTCGTTGTGGGAGGGGGAGGAGGGGGGGGGGGGAGAGGGAGGGGGGAGAGGCGGCGAAGAATTTCTTTCGAGGAAAGAGCATGGCGTTAACCACTCCCATTGAAATATTGTTTGGATTTCTTCCCCACTTTTTGATGCCCTAAAATCCCGAGGTTTTCAATCAAGAAAATATTCAATCTGCGAAAATTCTGCTTGGACAACACTTCAATTTGTTCGACCATAGACTTTATCAAGATTAATTGCAGAGATAGCGACTCATTAGGAAGGGTAAGCGGGAGGGGCGCGAGCGAGCGCATAGAAAATTTCTGTTGAATTTTTCGCGTGTTCATATTTCCAGAAAACCCATTAGCCTACTACGAGATTTTTTTGAAGGGCGTAGTTGACGATAACCAAAAGGAACATGGTTTGTGCCTCTGAATATATTGTTTGACTATCAGAATCAGCGATGACTTTTTGCATGATTTCAAAACTTTGCACCACTTCCAAAATATTTCAAAGTCAATACCTTTAAACGTGAACAACGCTATTTCTTAGGGGCACGCCATAATGCGACTCCAATGATATTTTATACCAATAGCGCTAGCTTTCCGTCTCTGTACATACTCTCGTCGGCAGAAGAAACTATTACAGTCATTTGTAGGAGGTTCAAGCTGATGTCACGGAAGATCCTTTGATTTGAATAAATTCGCGCACGTTCTCCTAGCAAACTGCAGAGACAATTAGTAGTAGGGTAGTCATTGCTGCAGCCATTATGATATGAATAGTTCGATACATGCAGCGGCGGACAGGGGTAATTCGGGTGAGGGAACTTAGGAACCCGAGCCTAATTATCCCGACTTGGGGAGTGCCTGCAGGATACAGTCATGCTCGCTATCTCCCATTACTCCCTAGGACATGGCGACAGTCTAAGCCCCACCCTCCTGAGAGCCTGTTTTGGGAACTGGGCAAGAATCCTGAAAATTCCAATTGAACGGTCGCTGAAACTGGCTCTTAGCCAAAAACCTTCAAAATGGTCGTGCGAAGGTGAAATTAGGTTCAAATGAAAGAGAAACGTGCCGCCATTATAACTTATCTACTGATTGAAAATGATGGAATAATTTTTTGTTACAAAAGTTTTCTTAAGTGTCAAAAACAGACAATACACTTGGAAATTATTCAAGAAACTCTAAACTTTTCAAAAATAATCTATTTGAGTGCTAAATCCGGGCAAAAGACTAGAAAATCATTCGAGAAATGAGATTTCAGAAACTTCTCAAAATAATCAGTCACAGTGCTAAATTTCGGGCAAAAGACTAAAACATCAGTCAAGAAATGACAATACAGAAACTTCACAATAATAAAAGTTTATTTGTGTGCTAAGGTTTGGGCAAATGACTAGAAAATCATTCAAGAAGTGAAAGTTCAAAATTTCTCAGAATAATGTTCATTTATGTGGTGAAGTTCGGGTAAAAGACATTCGAAATGACATTCAGTATTCATAACTATTAGAGTTGCCTGCAAAAAAAGGTAAAAAATAAGAATTGAGATTATCGATAGTAACGATAAGTAATTTTCATACTATGTTACCATTTATAAGGAAAATTTCGCCAAACTGTTCTTCCAACGTTTTCTTGCCCTAGGTTGAGGACATTGCTTACAGCATATTTGCCGGGTGTTCTTCGCACATCAGAATCGTCTGTCGTTGACTGACCATATTTGGTCAGCAATATCAACATTGAAATTTTTGAACTGTCATTCCTTGAATGATTTCCTAGTCTTTTCTGCCAATTTCAGCACACAAATAAACTATTATTTTTGGGAAATTGAACTGCCATTTCTTGATTAAC